GTCGAACCCGTTCCTCGCCAATATATACATTACTTATTGGCCGTGCATGATAGAGAACAAGCTGGACATCTGCTTGTGTCTCTGACTCATCATGTGACATCTACGACATGCCTGACATCAAAACACTGGTAGTAGTTTCGAAATCAATCTGTTTCTCTTTTCTCGTGGCCTTCGTAGTATATACCGGTACTTTTAAAAAATCTTAGGCGTCATTCTGAAAGGATCCAAACTGCGTGTATAGTTTTTATGACCATGTACAAATGTGCTGTACATTCTGGAAGCATTTTTGGCACGTAAAATATCCTCATAAAATCTTCATAAAACAACAGAATGATTTCAAAGATCACAGCACCTCTTTTCCTAGCTTTGCTTTGCGCCGCTGATGCCCATTCAGTAAGTGTCCTCAATTGGCTGCTTTAAAGCGATTCCGGCTAGCTATGCGACTGTAGAGTACCTTGTTAAAACACGAGCAGCAAATGTCAAATCCCTTCGGTAGGTGTTGTTGATTCGTTCCTTGAAACCTCGCTGCCACATACCGTGTTGACGTTCCCAATGACAACTCACGTCCTTTTCACATTACGGCAGGCTCGTGTTGGAGATAAGAATGCACCCATCTACGGCGAAGAATGCTTTCTCTATATTTTAGAGAATTCCGATTGGCACCACGAAACTCTGCCCCAAATTCTTTGCGGAGGATATCAGAATGAAATGATTATTTACCTGCTGGACGAAGAGCATGAAGATAATCCATGTCAAATGGCCTTGGACTCTGTAGGCTTCGAATCCGCAATCTCGACGATTAACGAGTTCCATTTCGAGGAGTGCATTGCTATGGCCGACGCTGATTTGAAGGCTGCTCTGAATGAAAAGATTGTTCCTGGCGAATCGGTAAGAATTGTCGGCAATTAAAACCATTCTCTATTTCATGGCTGTGCGGGAGGATACGAACGACTCATCCACTCTTTCTTGATTGCTTTCCACTAATGCAGCCTCGTCATGGTCGAGCACATTCGGTACGTATCGATGACTGATTCAATCCAGCCATGGCGATATGGCGATGGTATGTAGGAGGACGAGATGCATACGTTCAATCTAACTTGTGTCATTGTTGCACATGTAGGTGCATACACGAGCTCAAGAGGATGTGGGAACCTCCTTCTTCTCTGAAGCTTGTACCTCTTCCGTCCTTGACGATATTGGTTACAATTGGCATCACGAAGACCTTCCCTTGAAACTTTGCTCCGGATATCATAATGAAATGATGTATTTTCTGGCAAAGCCATCGGAAGAGACAGGAGGCAGTCCATGTCAAGATGCATTGGATGGTGCCGAAATTGATCCCGCGATTGACTTTATCACCATGTTTCGTTTTGAAGATTGCATTGCTGAAGTCGACAAGGAAATGGACGCGATGGTTGCAGATTCTTATGGTCTTGTAGGTTCCCACCATGGAGAAGGTCGTAGAGCGTGGTATTGCGTTTTTCCACTTATGTGTAATAGTGATGCGACTTAGAGTCTAGTTCTAAAGTGAAGTGGGTGTAACTCCCACCATCCTGCGAAAAAAGTGAGCAGGTGACACTATCTAGGTATTAGTCCGATAGTTAGCAGCAGTAATACCAATATTCTACTTCCAATGCTAACAAAACTCTTGCTTTTACTAGCCCTCACTGTCACGCCAATGGAATAGTCGGCAGAGAACCAGCACGACGGAGGAGGGGCGACGCCAATGGAGTATTTGGCAGAGAATTAGACTGGCAATATGGAGTTGTGGATTCGTTAGCGTATATCGTTTTCGTTGCTTAGCGGTTTCATTACAGTACGAGTTTAAACCAAATTCTTTCCAACCCCTTTTGCAAAAAAAAAGCCCAAAACGAAGTCCAAGTATAGTCGTTGAGCAATCAAGCCTTCCTGATCGATCTATATCTCCAACAGTTTGTCATTCCACCTATAGTCGGCTCTTGCAAACTGCCGCTGCTAGCTATACGGTCGTACGGGTACCAGGAACCAAATAGAAGTTTCGAAATCAATCTGTTTCTCTTTTCTCGTGGCCTTCGTATTATACCGGTACTTTTAAAAATCTTATAATAGGCGTCATTATTCTGAAATAAAAGTTGTGGATCCAAACTGCGTGTACCGGTATAGTTTATGACCCTGTAGAGCTCGTACAAATGTGCTGTACATATTCTATGTAAGCATATAATTTATCCTCATCAAATCGTCATAAAACAACAGAATGATTTCGAAGATCACAGTGCCTCTTTTCCTAGCGTTGCTTTGCGGCGCTGATGCCCATTCAGTAAGTGTCCTTGATTGGCCGCTTCAAAGCGATTCCGGCTAGCTATGCGACTGTAGAGTACCTTGGTACAGGTGGCAACCACAAGGACTCACTGCTCTATCTTCATCATGACACGACCGCTGGTTTTCAAACGCAAGTTCGTACGAAAGTAAAAGTTGTCGAATCATCACCTTCGGTTGTAGTTCGCATGATTCTGTGGAGCTGGAGAATGTAAACGAATGTAAACGACTTACTCGTCCTTTGCCATTGCCAAACAACCACGCAGGCTACTACTCGGGCAGCAGATGTCAAATCCCATTCGGTAGGTGTTGTTGATTCGTTCCTTGAAACCTCGCTGCCACATACCGTGTTGACGTTCCCAATGACAACTCACGTCCTTTTCACATTACGGCAGGCTCGTGTTGGAGATAAGAATGCACCCATCTACGGCGAAGAATGCTTTCTCTATATTTTAGAGAATTCCGATTGGCACCACGAAACTCTGCCCCAAATTCTTTGCGGAGGATATCAGAATGAAATGATTATTTACCTGCTGGACGAAGAGCATGAAGATAATCCATGTCAAATGGCCTTGGACTCTGTAGGCTTCGAATCCGCAATCTCGACGATTAACGAGTTCCATTTCGAGGAGTGCATTGCTATGGCCGACGCTGATTTGAAGGCTGCTCTGAATGAAAAGATTGTTCCTGGCGAATCGGTAAGAATTGTCGGCAATTAAAACCATTCTCTATTTCATGGCTGTGCGGGAGGATACGAACGACTCATCCACTCTTTCTTGATTGCTTTCCACTAATGCAGCCTCGTCATGGTCGAGCACATTCGGTACGTATCGATGACTGATTCAATCCAGCCATTGCGGTATGGCGATGGTGTAGGAGGATGGGATGCAAACGTTCAATCTAACTTGTGTCATTGTTGCACATGTAGGTGCATACACGAGCTCAAGAGGATGTGGGAACCTCCTTCTTCTCTGAAGCTTGTACCTCTTCCGTCCTTGACGATATTGGTTACAATTGGCATCACGAAGACCTTCCCTTGAAACTTTGCTCCGGATATCATAATGAAATGATGTATTTTCTGGCAAAGCCATCGGAAGAGACAGGAGGCAGTCCATGTCAAGATGCATTGGATGGTGCCGAAATTGATCCCGCGATTGACTTTATTACCATGTTTCGTTTTGAAGATTGCATTGCTGAAGTCGACAAGGCAATGGACGCGGTGGTTGGAGAGTCCTATGGTCTAGCAGTTTCCAATCATGCAGAAGGTCGTTTTATCACTTCCCTGTGGTGCTCGATATTTCGTTGTGCTCCGAAGAAGCCCCCCATTTACACAAAATCACCATGAGTTGAAACTACAAGGCTGGGTCCGAAATCAAGTGGGTGTAACCCCCACCATCCTGCGAAAAAAGTGAGCAGGTGACACTATCTAGGCAGTAATTTCAATAGCATAATTTACTTCCAATGCTGACATAACTCTTACTTTTCTTATCTCTCACTGCCATGCCAATGAAATAAGTTGAAGAGAAACAGCACGACGATGAAGGTGTAAAAACTTTGTAACCAAAAGTAATGTCAAAGAGGTCCATTTGTAATGACCTCCGCATCCTGAAAGAAAGAAGACTGTCATGTTTCTCTTCTTCTTTTTTGTTGCCTTTCAAACACAGATTGTATAAATAAACAACATTGAGACTGCTGTGAATAATTTGCCCTGAGGCTCGTGACGTTGGCCACAAGAACAACCAAGGTAGTTTGGATCAGAAATTAGGGTTGGTTTCCTGGGTAATACTGGGATAGCTCCTGAGTCTTAGGTTCAATATTATATTAGCGATATTGAATTCGGATTCGTAAGTATTTATGTTAAAACTTGTTGCTCAGCGGTGTCATCTACTCTCTGTCTAAATATATCTCTCCCTGTGTGTCATTCGACCTAGTCTAATTGTGCAAGATCAGAGTAAGAACAGTTTTGATATTTCGAGCTACAGTACAGTATCTGATAGGCCATTGGCGCCTTTTGCTCGCCTTGTTTCTTCCGTGACGGATTGCGCTATCCAAGGACCGCTGTCTCTGGTATCCCGCGACTTGGGATATGGAAGACTTGTTTACCTATCCTAAGGCCTAACGGGGATTTGGTGGGAGGAAAATAAAGAAATATTCTCATGACATAATGTATTGGCCCTCGCATATAAAAGGCTCGTGCGTCGGCCGTTTTGGCAATAACAAACCACGGGGAAAATGCCAATTTTTGGAAAAATGCTTTACTTTTCTCCATGAGAGGGAACCAAATGATTATCTCTCATGATTCTGTTGAGAAGGTCAATCATGTTTTGGTTTCTAAGGAGGACCTTGACGATATTATGAAGGTTCACTTCTACAATGAAAACTTACGGAACATCCAAGCTATACGATTGTGGCAGCGTACTGCAACAATTGTTTGCAGTCCTTGGCCGGTTGAGTCCATACTATAGCCATATCAGACAGGATACAATTGATAACCTGGTTGAAAAAGTTGAGCAGAGTGTCAGGGAGAAGAAGGACAATCCAATATTCATCAGTGACAAGCAGAGTCTTCTGCATGAAAAACGTCTTGGCTCTGATGTTGGTGGTGTCCATCAGGTGGACTCCATGTCAGATAATTACCATGATTACTTTGGAGGAGCATCAACATCACAAATTGAGGGTTCCAGCCATCCAAGTAGCAATGAGGATCTCCCTCTTAAGACACATTATGTCAGCCCATCACCAGATACCTTGCTGCAAACGGAGAGCAACGGCAAGCAAGTTGAGAATGATGCTATTCAAAACATGATGAAAAGTGTTAACGGCAAGCAAGTTGAGAATGATGCTATTCAAAACATGATGAAAAGTGTTGATGAAAGCAGGACCGTGAGCCAGCATCAAATGGAGTCAGACGATGTTGTACGGGGATGGTTTGGAGAACATGAATCAGAAGGAAGAGACAGGCATAACAACTCTTTTGTCATATTGCATTGATGCCAAGACCCAATCAATGAGTTCTTGCCAGATGATGACGATGCTGGCGTGTATCTTTCCATGGCTGTTCCCTATCAGAAAAGCTTATGGAAGACGTTCTGGTAACCTCAATGGCGAGGAGTTGAACCATTTGCTGAAACAGTTTAGTATGATTCATGGTCAGGACAGACGAATGTTGGATTTGCAGTCATAAAAAGTGCAAGCCGCAAATGTTGAAAACCAGATATAAGGCTCGTGCGTGCTGGCCGTTTTGGCAACACGGGAAAAATGCCATTTTTTGGAAAAATGCTTGACTTTTCCACGACACAACAATACATTGCCATAATGTCAACTTGCCTTCCAAGTCGTTACTATGCTAGCAATCATAATAAATGACTTAATATATCAACCAACGGACCTTCTAACAAGCCAAGTGTCATTTGCACATTCATTTCACAACCTGGACGTACAGAAAGGAGCCCAAGATATCACATTGAAATGGGTGTCAAAGATGGTGCTGCATATTGTCGTTCATCACAAGGCTTTACACACACAGTCAAGTTGATTTGCACCCGCCTTAATGATAAGTTTCCCGTAGGTGGTCCTCACAATCCTGGTGTCGGTGTCAATCTCTCGTGTTGGCTCGTAGCTGCTCTTAAGCACAATGTGTTCCTCATGCAGAAATGGGGTCGATTTGGAGAGGCTCTAGTTGGAATTCGTCAATTTGGTTCCAAACAAAGCGCTCATATTCTGGCTTGCCGTTTGAGGTGTGCGACTGGCTTCCCAATCACGACCCGAAGTTGTCAAAGCTGTCGCTAATAACTTGAAGCTAGATAAACAACCGGCACTTCTCCCCACACTCTTACTTTGTGGCGGAGGAGGTTATGTGGCATTTGAGACTCTGACTTCAAGGGTCGATACAGTAGCATGGCAGACTGGAGAAGAGGGACTGGATCTAATCCGCGACTACTTCCCCAAGATCACTGAAGACTTCTTTACCTCAGTCTATGGTATCCGGGATTCAAGTAGAGAGAGGTGCAGCCGACATTTGCAAGGTGGAAGTTTTGATCTGGAGCATCTGAATCTTTGCAGCAATATGGAACCAGACACAGAATCGATGGTTGTGAAATCCGCATGTGCGCCATGTACCGGTATACTGTCCAATCGATGTGCTGTCAAGCTTGCTGAAGATATTCATACACTCCTTGGGGCTCCTGAAAGTAGATGCGACTGTGCAGCTGGTGCATTCTGCTGCGCCCACCGCCGGGCCCAATTCTTGCTGATGTACATTATTCAGAAGTGCGATGATTGGGATTTCGCAACTCTGGTAAGGAAAATGCCAGAACCAATCCATAGGATTGTATCATGTGCGATTGCAGTATCATATTGTCACCCAAGCAATGATAAAGAAGAGGCAGCAAGGGAGAGAAAGATCCGCCAGAAATGCCTAGACAAGCTTTTCTCACAACTCAAGAAGGCAGATGGGAATGATGAAGATGAGGATGAGGAGGAAGAAAACGAACGGTTTGAGTGGGAAGATGGAGTTCCATTGGCTAACCCTGGGTGCAAATTCGTCGTATCCATTGTATCAGGTGGTGCTACTGTAGAAGTGATCAAGGTCACCGCTCTATTCCTGGCGGAAATGGAGGAAAGGGAAAAGATAACTGGTCGAACACAGAAGCACAGTAACGCGATGATGCTGGAGGAATTTGCGAAGTAGCTTGCAACTTCAAACATGAATGATAAAGAGCGCAAGCGGCAGCTGCTTCGCCTAAAGAGGACATACGAACGTGCAGAAAAGAGCATTGAAGCCAGTAGCATGTTATCCTAGTATACAAAACAAACTCACCAAAGAATACATCGAAGAGGAACTACTCAAGCTTAGCAATGTTGATGGCAGTATGATTCACGCCATAGTCAGCTGGTAGTAAACTTATTTTCTAGTCCTATAGTTATTGCTTCGCTTCCGTTTTCTAGACACATTGGCCTGGTACCTCGTATGGCCTTCTGTTCGGATGAAAATTGCTTGTGCCCGTGCAAGAATGCTGGATGAAGAACCGTGTTGTGGTTTGGATAGAACCCCGTCGTTACGTCAAAGCCCTTGACAGCAGGGATGTTCTCCAGTTTCCCATATCTGCCCCACAGTTGGACGAGTTTCTTTTCAGATGCTCGTCCAAGGAATGCGGCTGTATGTTCAAAGTTAATACCACAAGGGAATGACCGAGTGATACACCGGAAAGACGAATGCTCCAACTTGCTTTCATAGGACGCTTGAGCTACCGCATGATCCTTCCTCACGGTCTTTGTATACCAGTCTTTCCCATCCTTGATGGCGCCCACATCCTCAAGACCCAAGTCTATATAGGATTGAGGTAAAAGTTCATCCATGACATCGGAAGTAATTCCTGGTAGGATGCTAAGGTGCCTACCTACTTCCCCCCACACCGGGATCCATGCGTTGACAATCTTGAAAACCGAGCTATGTGGTCCTTGAATCCATATACCTGAGTATTGAACTGGAGGTTGTTATCGGCCTCTATGTAGAAGAGAGTCAATAAAAATTTATCAAACTTGGAGAGCCCCTTCTTCTTGGTTGGTTTCTCGTATGGGAGATCGTGCATGTCTTCCATGAATTCTTTCAGACGCTCCCAATTCGGGAAGCGGAAGAAACAAGCGCATGCCTTCGGATATGCAGCGTGGTACTCGTCTGAGGCAACTGAGATTCTATTCACTCCTTGGAACTGTAATTCTGTCGTTTCATTTGAACTGGGGGCTACTGTTGTAAGATTGGTCCTTGAGCTTCGTTGAGGAAACGGATTGTATCTTCCAATACCTGAGTCTTCTCCTTGAGTTTGGCGTGATCTTTCATCATTTCCGCAATTGTCTCGGGTGATGGTGATCCATCGGTTTTGTTTGCTGGGCTTACTCGGCGTGATGTTCTGGGGATGGCAGCGACAACCTCTTCCGTCACCACTTGCAGCTGAGAGTTCTTCTCCACATCTTGTAAATCGTCGCTTGTCTTGGAGAGTGGATAGCTTGGGACTACAAAATAGCAATGCTCAATGCTTATCGAATCGGTCGGCATCGGTGTACCCGTTTGATTCTCCATTTGATTGAATGACTTCATCGACAAAAGTGTCGGGAATGGTATCCAAACAGACATACTTGTTTCCTTTTACATCGAGACCATGCTGCGAAATGTACCAGGGGTCTAGGTGATGCCAGGAAACAAATTTAATTTGGCGCCCGGGCAGCCCATCGTCTTGTTCCGTTTGCCGTCTTGTTCTGACCGTAGCGGCAGCTTCTTTTTTCTTGCCTCTGTTATCGATCGTCATGACGTCTCGAAGAGTCTTTTGCGGGCAAAGGTGACGCCTAAAACGCTCCGCCTTGTTCATTTTCTTGAGCTTATTGCCAGAAGGAGTCCTAACATAGGTACCTCTGATGTCTCCAAGGGCCCTGAATCGGGAAGATATAGTGGCACACTCTGGTTTCTCGCAAATGCAAGTGCGCGGTTTGTTGAATGCCTTCTCATCCCCCAAGAATGGGATGAGCTGTACTGCTGGGCGACTCATGGACACAGATACTGGTGTTGTGAGGATCCATTGCAACGCCTGCATCTCACAGGTTTATATTCAGAGTATTGTCCCTTTGGTCGGAGCATATTGGGCAATATAGGTGTATTTTGGGAGTTACAAAGTCTATCGGAGTGTTGTGCGTGGTTCGTTCCGTTTTAACTTTTTCCTAGATCGGCAAGACGGGAGACGTATGGGCGTTTCTAGCTCTTCCTTAGTCTCAATTTCCGTCGTGTCGATTACGGCGCGTCGCTTCAGTGAAGTACACGGTTGGCGGACGGAGCGAAGAGTGTCGACGAAGAGGACGGAATGATTTGGAGAAGACATTGTTCGCAATGGGAGCTTGTGGGATGATGGAGGCGATAGAAGGAGTTTAGCTGCTCGGTCAAGACCGTCAGCTCTTTTTTGCTTTTCCCGCCCTCACCACCCTCTCTCTCATTTGCACCATAGCTCGGTACCCCATTTGGTCCGGGTTTGTCTGTCAATCCTATTGATTGTCCTTTTCGAATCCTATGATTCAACCTCGGTGCAAACCAGTCACTAACCTAGTACCTCGCTACTGTGCCAAACCTACTCGCTTCTCGTATGTAGCATCGGGCTTTTGCCACAGTTTCCATGGTAGCATACGTGCGCGATCTCTCCAGACAAAGACTACATCATGCGATTCAAGCCCAGGAGTGGAGGCGGCGCCGGGTAATCTTCGATTATAGATCGGCAAGACGGGAGACGTATGGGCGTTTCTAGCTCTTCCTTAGTCTCAATTTCCGTCGTGTCGATTACGGCGCGTCGCTTCAGTGAAGTACACGGTTGGCGGACGGAGCGAAGAGTGTCGACGAAGAGGACGGAATGATTTGGAGAAGACATTGTTCGCAATGGGAGCTTGTGGGATGATGGAGGCGATAGAAGGAGTTTAGCTGCTCGGTCAAGACCGTCAGCTCTTTTTTGCTTTTCCCGCCCTCACCACCCTCTCTCTCATTTGCACCATAGCTCGGTACCCCATTTGGTCCGGGTTTGTCTGTCAATCCTATTGATTGTCCTTTTCGAATCCTATGATTCAACCTCGGTGCAAACCAGTCACTAACCTAGTACCTCGCTACTGTGCCAAACCTACTCGCTTCTCGTATGTAGCATCGGGCTTTTGCCACAGTTTCCATGGTAGCATACGTGCGCGATCTCTCCAGACAAAGACTACATCATGCGATTCAAGCCCAGGAGTGGAGGCGGCGCCGGGTAATCTTCGATTATAGATCGGCAAGACGGGAGACGTATGGGCGTTTCTAGCTCTTCCTTAGTCTCAATTTCCGTCGTGTCGATTACGGCGCGTCGCTTCAGTGAAGTACACGGTTGGCGGACGGAGCGAAGAGTGTCGACGAAGAGGACGGAATGATTTGGAGAAGACATTGTTCGCAATGGGAGCTTGTGGGATGATGGAGGCGATAGAAGGAGTTTAGCTGCTCGGTCAAGACCGTCAGCTCTTTTTTGCTTTTCCCGCCCTCACCACCCTCTCTCTCATTTGCACCATAGCTCGGTACCCCATTTGGTCCGGGTTTGTCTGTCAATCCTATTGATTGTCCTTTTCGAATCCTATGATTCAACCTCGGTGCAAACCAGTCACTAACCTAGTACCTCGCTACTGTGCCAAACCTACTCGCTTCTCGTATGTAGCATCGGGCTTTTGCCACAGTTTCCATGGTAGCATACGTGCGCGATCTCTCCAGACAAAGACTACATCATGCGATTCAAGCCCAGGAGTGGAGGCGGCGCCGGGTAATCTTCGATTATAGATCGGCAAGACGGGAGACGTATGGGCGTTTCTAGCTCTTCCTTAGTCTCAATTTCCGTCGTGTCGATTACGGCGCGTCGCTTCAGTGAAGTACACGGTTGGCGGACGGAGCGAAGAGTGTCGACGAAGAGGACGGAATGATTTGGAGAAGACATTGTTCGCAATGGGAGCTTGTGGGATGATGGAGGCGATAGAAGGAGTTTAGCTGCTCGGTCAAGACCGTCAGCTCTTTTTTGCTTTTCCCGCCCTCACCACCCTCTCTCTCATTTGCACCATAGCTCGGTACCCCATTTGGTCCGGGTTTGTCTGTCAATCCTATTGATTGTCCTTTTCGAATCCTATGATTCAACCTCGGTGCAAACCAGTCACTAACCTAGTACCTCGCTACTGTGCCAAACCTACTCGCTTCTCGTATGTAGCATCGGGCTTTTGCCACAGTTTCCATGGTAGCATACGTGCGCGATCTCTCCAGACAAAGACTACATCATGCGATTCAAGCCCAGGAGTGGAGGCGGCGCCGGGTAATCTTCGATTATAGATCGGCAAGACGGGAGACGTATGGGCGTTTCTAGCTCTTCCTTAGTCTCAATTTCCGTCGTGTCGATTACGGCGCGTCGCTTCAGTGAAGTACACGGTTGGCGGACGGAGCGAAGAGTGTCGACGAAGAGGACGGAATGATTTGGAGAAGACATTGTTCGCAATGGGAGCTTGTGGGATGATGGAGGCGATAGAAGGAGTTTAGCTGCTCGGTCAAGACCGTCAGCTCTTTTTTGCTTTTCCCGCCCTCACCACCCTCTCTCTCATTTGCACCATAGCTCGGTACCCCATTTGGTCCGGGTTTGTCTGTCAATCCTATTGATTGTCCTTTTCGAATCCTATGATTCAACCTCGGTGCAAACCAGTCACTAACCTAGTACCTCGCTACTGTGCCAAACCTACTCGCTTCTCGTATGTAGCATCGGGCTTTTGCCACAGTTTCCATGGTAGCATACGTGCGCGATCTCTCCAGACAAAGACTACATCATGCGATTCAAGCCCAGGAGTGGAGGCGGCGCCGGGTAATCTTCGATTACCCCATTTTTCCACATTTGGCGACGGGTTTGCCAAAATAACGGCCAGCGCACGATGAGTTCAAAGTTCAATGCGCTTGCTTGGAAGGCCGTCTGACCGGCGTCAGGCGATGATGGATGATCAATCTTGATTGATTGATTGATTGATTCATCTCGATCTTCCGTCTACGATGAGTAACGGTTCGTACCAGCGGTACATCAGAAAACCAATCTTCAATCTGTTTCTCTTTTCTCGTGGCCTTCGTATTATATCGGTACGAACCTTTCTTTTTAAAAAACCTTACGCGTCATTCTGAAATATGTTGTGGATCCAAATTAAAATGACCCAGTACTCTAGCTGTGCCGGTACAAGTGACCTACTGTACATACCGCGCTGCGGAAGCACTTTTGACACGTAAAATATCCTCATCAACTAAATGGATAAAAAAGAACAGCATGATTTCGAAGATCACAGTACCTCTTTTCCTAGCTTTGCTTTGCGGCGCTGATGCCCATTCAGTAAGTGTCCTCGATTGGCTGCTTCAAAGCGATTCCGGCTAGCTATGCGACTGTAGAGTACCTTGTTACAGGTGGCAACCACAAGGACTCACTGCTCTATCTTCATCATGACACGACCGCTGGTTTTCAAACGCAGGTTCGTACGAAAGCAAAAGTTGTCGAATCATCACCTTCGGTTGTAGTTCGCATGATTCTGTGGAGCTGGAGAATGTAAACGAATGTAAACGACTTACTCGTTTTTTGCCATTGCCAAACAACCACGCAGGCTACTACTCGGGCAGCAGATGTCAAATCCCATTCGGTAGGTGTTGTTGATTCGTTCCTTGAAACCTCGCTGCCACATACCGTGTTGACGTTCCCAATGACAACTCACGTCCTTTTCAAATTACGGCAGGCTCGTGTTGGAGATAAGAATGCACCCATCTACGGCAAAGAATGCTCGATCTATATTTTAGAGAATTCCGATTGGCACCACAAAACTCTGCCCCAAATTCTTTGCGGAGGATATCAGAATGAAATGATTATTTACCTGCTGAACAAAGATCTCGAAGATAATCCATGTCAAATGGCCTTGGACTCTGTAGGCTTCGAATCCGCAATCTCGGAGATTAACGAGTTCCATTTCGAGGAGTGCATTGCTATAGTCGACGCTGATTTGAGGGCTGCTCTTAAGGAAAAGATTGTTCGTCGCGATTCGGTAAGAATTGTCGGTGATTGAGACCGTTCTCTATTTTATGGCTGTGCGGGGGCATACGAAAGACTCACTCACTTTTTCTTGATTGCTTTTCACTAATGCAGCCTCGTCATGGTCGAGCACATTCGGTACGTATCGATGACTGATTCAAGCCAGCCATGGCGATGTGGCGATGGTATGTAGGAGGATGAGATGCATACGTTATATCTAACTTACATTGTGTCATTATTAAACGAGTAGGTGCATACCCGAGCGAAAGAGGATGTGGGAACCTCCTTCTTCTCTGAAGCTTGTACCTCTTCCGTCCTAGACGATATTGGTGACAATTGGCACCAAGAAGACCTTCCCTTGAAACTTTGCTCCGGATATCATAGTGAAATGATGTATTTTCTGGCAAAGCCATCGGAAGAGACAGGAGGCAGTCCATGTCAAGATGCATTGGATGGTGCCGAAATTGATCCCGCGCTTGACTTTATCACCATGTTTCGTTTTGAAGATTGCATTGCTGAAGTCGACAAGGAAATGGACGCGATGGTTGCAGATTCTTATGGTCTTGTAGGTTCCCACCATGGAGAAGGTCGTAGACCGTGGTATTGCATTTTTGGCATTTGTGGTGAAGGGGAAGAAGGAGCTGAACGACCTTAACCTTAGTGCTTGCTTCCGAACAAGTCAAGTGGGTGTAACCCCCACCATCCTGCGAAAAAAGTGAACAGGTGACACTACCTAGGCAGTAACCCAATAGCAGAAGTAATACCAATGTTGTACATCTTACGCTAACAGGAGTCTTGCTGTTATGAACCCTCACTGTCACTCCAACGGAATAGTCGGCAGAGAACTAACTCGACGAATAAAGGAGGGGCAAAGGAACATCTGCAGTGACATTCGCAACCTGATGGACAGAAGAACGGTATGCTTTGATTTTGCTGCCCTCCATTCTCCGTGACACCGGCAGATTTGCTGCTTCCAGAGAACAGTCCACATATTAATAATGTGTGGACTATCGCGGCTGCCTTGTGGTTCTTGCGTCGTCGTCCTTTCGGGCTCTTTTTATTGCCCTCTTACCAGGTACTCCTTCACTCTGTCTGATATGATATCTCCTGATAAAATTGTCGTCTTCCGGCGAAGATGTTGCAAACGCACGGTCACGTGGTCTAATGTATCGAGATTGCCGTGTGATTTCTGCCCTAATGTAGGTGGAGACGATAATATGGAGGCAGGTATGACGAAAAGGTTTGTCGGAAGGAAAAGGCCGACGAAACTCTTGAGTGCTAGCTTCATTACTAGGTACCAGGTATCGGAACGAGTAAGGCTTTCGGATTGATTCGCTTGCTCAGAGCTCTGTCTACCGGTACCAGGTATCATTTTATATATTGCGGTCTCTGTTTTATTACAACGAAATCGTGGTCATCTACCAAAATGCCCCTATATCGCGCCGGCAGTTGGGATCCGTGCGAACTTTGTGTCAGAGCAATTAGAGGAATGTGGAGATTTCTTTTTATCCGGTATGCCGTACCGGGTATTTTTTAAATACGGTAGACATTTGACGACTACAAAATGGTCATTTAACTTCGTGGTGGAATGAATGAGTCGCCTCATCTATCAATCATGTACAATATTTTATCTCGAAAAGCCAAACGGCATACGTATACGACCATGGCCCAATACACTGATGATAATGACAGCTCCTGGGAAAGTTTGGACACCACGCAAAGTGAAGGCTTCGATATCAGCTGCAAAAAAGTTTCTAGCAACTTTTCTACATGTTCGAGCATCAGCTTCGATTTCCATTCATCTTGCATGTTAGACGGGAGCTTTCGATCATCAACGGCCGGAAGCGAAGAAAAGACAGAAGAAGAATTACAATGGACTCGGCAGGATCGTAAAGATCGTTTTATGGGAGACTACTACTGTCTTGACTCCGCATGCCTTCCTCCTCCTCGTCCTCGTTCCGTCCTTGCACCATCGAGAAAACTGGAGCTGCCGGCAACTCCACCAGCACCCACTGATTCGGAAATCATAGGTCTCAAGACTGCCACTCCGGTCAGAAACGATCGCTGGAAAGCTCAACTTGGGGCCGTCGACCACAGAAATCTCTTGTCAGTTCGTTGTGACACGAACAACAAAGATGATTTGCCTGTGGAGGAGGTTTATGATATTCAAGGTGATGATGAGGATTTCTCTGAAACCATGAAAGACGAAGAGTCGACGTTGTCGAATGCTCTTGAAGAAGAAGAGCCTATTAGTTCTAACCTTACAAGGAACGAGAGTTGTGCAACCCTTTTGAAAACAAATCGATCCGGCGAAACAAATCGATCCAACACTTTGTTTTCTGACACGATTCCCAAGATGTCGATTAGAACTACGGATGCGATTTTTTACGACTCCACGCATCTTACTGAACATGATAGTGATTCGTCCTCGCAAAGCTCTTTCGTATCTTTCGATGAGTCGTCGACGTTGTATGAGGTGGCGACCTTAGAAGAAACAACAGACCACAAGCAGGAGATTGAAGCCGAAGAAACTGTTCGAAAGGCTAATCGATCAACGATTGCATGCGATTCAGCAGAGATTACTGAAGCAGTGTTTCATCTGGACCTTGCTTCGTTGGAAGTATGCTCTTACGATGAGTTGGAGTTTGCATTGAAAGATGAGGAAATAAGGATGCACGAGAAGACTGAGTTGGAAGTTGGAAGCCATTGTAAATCTGCAAATACCGTGTCAACGCTTGATGTGGAATCCTTGGTGGAGTCATTTTCATCTCTGAAAACAAAGGAAGAGACGTTGACTGCCTAGCCGATAGCTGTGGAACTACATATTTGCCTTTCGACGTCATCCTTCGTCAGCATATAGAGCCAGCAGCCAAGACGCGGCATGCACTGAAATATACAACGATGATGCTTCAAATTTTCGTGACCATCTTCGAGGATGGTCCATAGCGCAGCATTGATCAACGCTGATGTTGCACTACAAGTGTAGTTGGAGCGACGCACCCATCTTACGAGACGCCAAATGTGATTATGCGTGAATTCTTTGTCCGAGTACATACAAAATGTCTTGATCTACCAGCCATCTACCTAATCATAACAGCCATGCTACCACGAGCTACGCACAACTCGAATACCCCACCAGCAAAACCTGTTTCATGTAATGTGTTATAGTTGAGTGGTCGGAAGTGCGATTTGTAGCTACGAAATGTCACTACCGATGTTCTATTCGACAACCAAGCTGATCTAATCGAAACATACTTCCCCTGTTACCTGCTACCTGGTACCAGGTACGCATAACGCGTGAACCCAACCGGCAAAAGTGTTTTATGCAGTGTTCGGCTCAAAGCGATTTGTATCTACCAGTACGTGTACAAGGTCACAAAGCCACATACTACGAGCAAAAACTAAGAAAAGCCCTATGGAAAAGTGTTCTACCGTATGAGCAGTGAATGATATTGTGAGATGACGAGTTGTTCACGCTGTGATGTTAAGGTTCGAATGCGTTCACGTTTCGCATTAGTACCTAAAACCGGCGCGGGGTTCAGTTCCGCTTCATATTGTACAGCTGTGTGCCTATATATAAAAATATTTATCTCCTTAAAAATCCTTTTTTATAGTAGTTTTCTTTCGATAAATAAAGTGCCTTATTTAAATACAACTTTTTGGTTAAATGAAGGTCATGATCCGACATGAGATGCATCTTTTTTTAATTCGCACCCAAATGAATCTTTGTTAAATCATCTACTCGTAAAAATGCACTTCTCTGCAAGGTCTTTTGTCCATTTCATTAATTGACCAATACCGTAGAGTTTCGCGGTATCTGGCTCGGTGATTTCGAGCAGAAACCTTCTCACCACCTCCAGCAAGATTTGATGAAGCAAAAAAAAAACTGTCAATGCCATATCTGAGACTTTCAGGTACCTACCATACTCAAAGCAAAGCATCCAGGATTGATTCATTCATCATTCCACTGAAGCAACGCCTACCCAGTCCAAAAAGCGAAGACAATCCCCTTGGACCCTTTCAGCACAGTTCTTAATAGGTTAACAGTTCAACGGAAAGCAAGACTGCTCTTCAGAAACAACATTAACAACAATAGCAACGATACACACACAGCACAGGAAGGAAGAAGGCGACCAATTGAAATGGATCACCAAGTCGCATACGAATACAGTGGAGCCATCCCTTTGGATGAACAGGATCTTTCCATCAGTGATATGAAAAGCGTAGATTACTTTTCTATTGATCTGAATAATCATGACGACATGTCGACTTGTTCCAGCCTATCCTTGCCATCCATCATTGACGGGAAGCGCATCTTTATGCGTCGGAAAATGGCTGACGATGGTGATGATGAAAACGATCGTCTGTCCTACGACGACGAGTGGATAGCGCTAAAGCCTGAATATATTGCACCAAGCACACACTTTCAACCCATCTACTCCTCAGATGACGAAGATGAACTTTCGTTTGTCACCTTTGAAGAAGAATCCTACTACTCCAACACAGAGCACTCCAAAGTAAACTGCAGTGATCATGTGCACACTATGAACGAAGCTTCAGCGCCTCACAGACGAAGAATTTCGGACCATTCTGCATCCCTCCACAGGAAAAGACTGCAGGCGGGGTCAAACTCGAATCATTCCGCCTCTCGAAGGTCTCGGAGGAGTCTGAAAAACTTTTCTGATCATTCCGTCTCCAAACGAAGGAGTCACCGAGTTAGTTTGCTTCAAGAGCAAATGAATATTCTTGCATGTAAATCTGCTGACACTCCCCAGGATGAAGAGAATGATGCCTTCAGCTTCAAATCCTTGGACTTTGGTACTAGGCCTTCCTTTGGACCATCCGCAGAAGCTTTGCTGAAGCAACGCCAAGCTGGTTCCATGCGGAATCTATCGGGAGCCTCTGATCATGCTATTGCCCAGAACTACCGTGACGACGATGATGATGTTGAGGATGATGTTACTTCCGAAGATGAGTCGTTGTCAATGAACGCATCCGATGATTTTAGTTTCTACGAAGAGGAGACATTGGAAGGGAGTGTGGACAGCCACGTGCATCAGCCAGAATCCAACGAAATCAAGTCATGTTCCACCAACAATGTACACAAACCCCCTATCCTATCTCCCGGTATTTCTGGATACACTGCCAAAACAACGTTCGATTCAGACTCGGAAAGTAGTTGCACGCACTCTGTATCGGAATCAGTAGAAGAGGATTTGTCTAGTCCTAACCATAATGTGGGCGCCCCTAAAGCTACACCAGATATGGTAGCGATGACACCAAAGGTGGATCTTACGAGAAAGGCATGGGCGAAGCGGCAACGAAATGATGTAACTTCCAAATTACAGCAGCTGAAGAAGCAAATGAACTCTGTGTACGGAGCACCTCTCGGCAGCATGTCATCGATCCCTACAGCACCAATGACCAGCTCGGGAACCATACCACTCTTTGATGACAGCTGTAATTTTGATGAAGAAGTTACCCAGCAGCAACGGCATCAGCAGTGCCCCAGCAGTATGTTCGATTCCTCCGCTCGAAGCTCCAATAGCTTCTTCAATGCCTCCATGCGATCTACTGGCAGTTTGCTAGAGAAACGGCAGGCGACAGAAAACAAGCGACGACAGCTACGACTTGCCTTTAGTGCCTTGAGCAGTCCTACCAAACGACAGCCGCGACCGCGATCTCTGAGTCCAAGCTCGCATCATTCCAAGTCGAACTCCAACTCCTGCCGAATGCACCTTCGCAACAGTCTGCAAGCGCCAGTGTTGTGATGGTACTGCTGGAATTGAGGGTGAACCATATGCTATGGTAGGTGCCCAAGACTTACAATTTTCAAATAACATTAGTCCTAGAATTATACTACTGCAACTACCACAAACAGTACCGTACAATTCAATAATGATGAGCCGGATTTCTTCCCATGTGCTTCGCAATGTATAATTATGGTCGTAAACTGGAAAATTTGTCTCCCTTTGGTCTCTCGCCATCACTATCAGGCCCAAACTACGAATAACGTCGAATAGTGGCGCGGTCACTTAATTGGGAATACCGCTTTTCACGATCTGTACGACTTTTGAGCGTCCCAAAATGAGCATGAAAAGTCCGAGGAAAATGTTGGGAGCATCAGCAAATTATCAGTCCCGTAGTGCCGCCAAGAGAATACTCGTACTCACAACAGCTCAGCACTATACTAACCAATAACCGAGAGTAAATTACGTCCACTAGAAAGACTGACGGCATCTATCTGCATTACACATTACACACAATATGACGAAACATGTGGCGTTTTCACGACCTGGTGATGAAGTCGGGGAGCCTTCCGTTGAATTTCACCTGTACGATTACTGTGATTCTCATTCCGTGACGTCGGAAGCTGTGTCCATTGACTTGTCCATGATGCAAGATCAGCAGCAACAGAAACGTTCAATGAGGGGGAAACAGGCTGGGAAAAGCCGGGGTCACGACGCGGGAATGGGAAAGCTATTGAAGCGGGGGTCTACTTCAGGTACTTCTGAAAAGCGCGCGTCGATCACGTCAGAGGTCTCTCATGATATCAGTGCTGCAGAGAACAGTTTCTGGGACAATGAAGAGAATTCGTTTGCCGACTATGCCAATCTTGGCAATCAAAAAGGGGGACAACGGAATTCTGGGAAGTTAGTGCAACGTGCATCCATCACCTCTGAGATGTCCGGTGTAGATAGTTTCTGGAAGGAAGAGAATTCCTTTGCAGATTATGCAAAGTTCGGTGGACTGAAACAAGATCGAAGAGTATCTGGATCCTTCCATTTGGCGGAAGAAGGATTCAACGACATTCGCTTTGACGATGAAGCTTCTTTGGCGGATTCGGTGTTATCTATGGGTTCCTTTGCCCTCGACGGCGGTATTGAAATCTATGGCTTTGAGGATATCAAGGATGGTGAAGAGTATCATGGTAACCACAACAACACCTATACAGCGCCCTCCAAGGCTTCCATGCTTGATGGATCTATGGACTCGTGGTCTATCAACGAGTCTGTCCTAAAGGAGGGTCATATTGATGGGGAAGAAGGCTTGAAGGATGCCATGCCTATGCGTCGGGCGGATCGCAGGGCACAGAGAGCACGTGATCGTCTTTCCGCCTACTCCAGAGTACCTAGTCGCAATGGTTCTATTGGCTCCCTGACATCAAATCCAAGACGCAATGGTTCTATAGGAAAATACTCTGACCATTCGGGTCCAATTCCAAGACGCAATGGTTCCATTGGAAAATACTCTGACCACTCTGGTCCAAGACGAACTGGTTCTCTTGGAAAATATTCTGACCACTCTCTTGGATCGTTATCCATGGCGTCGTCAGGTCCAAGGCGGACTGGCTCCTTGGGAAAATATTCCGACCATACGCCACGAGGAGTTGGTCGTCGATCGTCTGCTGCTCCAGGGCATCGTCGCAACGGTTCGAATGGATCTCTTGCGGCAGCCGTTCTTCCAGGACGCAATCGACCTACTGCAGATGCTCCCGAGCCCGATATAGAAGACGGGAGCCCTACCGTGCGGCAGAGAAATGGACGCGAGCCCGGTACCGGTACGGAAGAAGGGAGCCCTACCGTACGGCAGCGAAATGGACGCAATAAGTCAGACAAAAAGGAAGTATCAGCAACATCGGCACCATCCATGCCGTCCGTAGAAAAGAAGGATTCCATTGTTTCGTCCAAAGTTACCAAGGCAATGAAGATGAAATTGGGAACAGATCTTCCAGGGGGTGCTATTCTTTCGCCACGGACCAAGTCGTCCAAGAAGTCAGCAAAGATCAAAATGGGGTCCGATTCAGATATTCTCCCACGGAGTCGGAGTGGTTCTACACGGCAGCAATTGTTGGGATAAATATATGCTATGCTATATTGCAGGCAGCCAGCCAGCACGTTACGGGTTTTGGGAGACGTGCTGTACTGTATTAATATATAACATGGGATGGGAGGGAAAAAAAGATTGATCTACGCTACTACTAGACAACAACACGAATATGAATTTGGGGAGATTGGGATTTAAATTGGGATCGAAATACTACACTATTCATTAGACAAATATATTGATTTAAAACTTCTACTGGCATCGTAGCTACAGTAAGATACGATATTCATGGATTGGAAGAATGATACCGGTAGCGGAAGTTAGCGGCGAAACTCCGTTTCCTCTGCCAGATTCCCAAGAAACCAAGAGCATCCCCAAGTTGATGGCTTTCAATATCGAGTTGGGGATGAAGATACGCATCGGTACGTACAAGTGCCCTGGTACCAGTAGTTACCAGGTAGAATAAGCAGGAGAGGCGAATTGGAAAACTAACAAGGTCATTCAAGAATAGTACAGGTAGTTCTACCAGGTAGTGCTTCAAATTTGAGATAAGAAGAGAAGATACCGTAGAATAGTCTGGGGATTCATGTTGATAGTACCAGGTACCAGAAACAGTAAGTACTGTACCGGTAGGTGGAATGGTTGAGAGACGTGAACCACGCTGGTACTGTATGGTTCCCTTACCTGTGATGGAAGAAGTGGGAGGCACTTGAAGATCGGACTGCTTTCATCCCCAATATCCCCAGTGCAGTGGGACCCCAATAATATTCCATTCGGTCACATATTCAACACGTCAGAACGAAGGCAGGCAAAGAAACCTCCCACTTATGCATAATTTGAACAGCGAGTTCTTCCGCCGGCGGAATATTGTCCTAGTTTTGTTGTGAGATTTCGACCGTTGAGGTAGCTTTTCTACATAAACCGAGCAAGCCTAGCTGTATTCTCTCCACTGTTTGTTTTATCCACTGCCGAATGGAAGTGGGAAGAAGTTATTATTGAGCGCAAGTGAAAACCTGTCTGATCTGTACAAGCTGCTTCTGTTGATGAATGATAAATTGAGTCTTCTCCATTTAGATCAGACAAAGATTACAAACGCTTCCCCACACTACAATCTTTGGATCTCACTGGTATAAAAGAGCAAGTTTAGCCATCATCCATCATAGCATTAGTATCTGCTATAGCCCAATATCATGCCTCCTTTTTCGCCAGTCCCTGAACAAACCAAACGTTACGTGATGTTTGGCGACTTCATGAACGGGCAAAGGATGCCACAACACTTTGATGCTGAGAACAAGATGAGCACTGACAGCCAGGACATGCCATACAAACCATTGATATCGAAACCGTCTTCATCTTCTTCGTTATCCATGGGCACAGCATCAACTTCTTGCACATCCCTCAGTTCCTCTGAATCATCAGCAGCGACTTTGACATCATCAGCTTCACCATCCTCACACCAAAGCAATAAAATGAAGCGAAACGTCTCCTTTCGCCAGGATATATCCGATGTGCTGACGATTGAGGCAATCCATCATCCTCAGGATGTTCACAATCAATGGTATTCCAAGCGAGAGCTTCACATCATTCGCCATAAGATTCGTTCGTTGCTAAGGTGGCACAATATGCGAGACGCTCATTACTATCAGTATGAAGATCCACAAGAAGAAGAACAAGCGGAATATTATGAGGATGGCTCGCAAGACTCTCCAAGTGGTCTCCGAAACGCACCTCCACCGCCTGCACCACCCTGTGTAACCTTTTACGAGGAATGCCTCTTCGGACTGGAAAAACATCTCTCGCAAGAAAAGGAACAAGTCCGCGAAATCAAATACAATGCGCAGAGCGTCGTCTTTGGCGAACAAGAACTGCAAAAGCAAATGGGGCTGTATGATGAACATCGTTTGGCCTACTCGTATGCTCAAACATCGGCAGCCTCTCAACAAGAAGCTTGGGAGATTGCTCAACTCAATGCCCAAGAGTCGGAACTGCACCGTCAAGAACTCGAAGCCCAACAACGCCTCCAAGAGGAACAACAGCGACACCTTCAGCAACAGCAAGAGAGGCGAGAAAGCGAGCAACGTAAGATTGAATCCTTTGAGACTTCGCTGTTGTCGCAAGAAGAATGCGATCTCGAACATTTGTTTTTGCGAGAAGGAAGGCGTGAGAATCCATTGAACGTGCTCAAGAATTGGAGAGCCTGCTTTGGCAAACTCTTTCGGCCTCGAGACGGCTGGGAGATCGACAGCGACGAGGATTGTCTGAATGCTCCTCCTCGAGTGCCCAAGCGACACGGGTGCCTCTTTTCGGATAGTATCCAAGAAGACGAGGAGGGGGAAGACGAAAACGAATACTATCATCGCTAGGGAAACAAGACCCCATCTTTAGGAAATTCATACCATATAATGCACTGGCAAACACTTTGCTAGTGATGTAAAATCAATATTAGAACATTTTTCCATTATAAGTTCCACGACGAAAATGTGATTCTTTTCTGTATTATCCCCCACCTCGTGTGTTTGCTCTCGTGTTATTTACAGTACCGGTACGATGTGTGGGTACGTGTACCAGGTACCGATAGTGCAATACATATATAAGGCCCATTCCAAATGGACGAATTTCGCGTATTTTCCGTGTATTTGAATCGATGTACAACGTCTGTTTTCAACGGATTTTATACGTCGAATTTTTTCAAATCCAATTGGAATGACCATTGATTTTTCATTGTATTAGACAAATCCCTTAAGTAAAATACTCCGATTTCAATCGTTTTCGCGCCATTTGGAATTTTTCGTGCATTCGAATCTGGGAACATCAATCATCAATATAATCATCCTCTGGTCGTCATATTTCAAATCAACCCGATCTGTCTACCATCGCAAATCCTACATGGCGAGAGTCAAGGAAGCTGACCAGAATGGCTTATTTGGTGATGATTAGTGTTTGGGATGATTAGTATTTGGAATTATTTTAAGTAGGTTAAGTAATAGTCAATTAGGTTAGGTTTTAGTTAATCAACGCTTCTACTCCGTCATATAGACGTGACCATGCTTGTTGGTATGCATGCCAGTTACCATTGGCCGACTCAAACCAGCAGACGCCAGCTTGTAAGCCAAGTTGAAACGAATATTCTCGCCGAGTGCTTTTTCATTCACCTCCTCCTTTGTTCGCCGGCCAGAGGGTTTTGGCTCATTGTTGTCACTGACTGTGGGCAGAGGTATTTCTCCTGTTGCTTGTGTGATGTTTTGCTGCAGTTGGTCCATTTCAAACAGGGTAGAATTTGCGAAGGCAGTAGAGTCGTGGGTGGATCCCTTATTAGCAGGAAAGCACCACAGAAAATACTTGGCCTTATCACACATAGCTTGGACATTTAGAGCGAAGAAGCCCTTTCGGCAGTAGTAGTTCCCAGGATCTGGAACCTCGTCTATTCTAGGTCCCTTGATTCTCACAGCCAGACCGTCGAGCGCTGCGAATACTCCGTAGAATATCCCATTTGTTTTTTCGGCAAAAGGAAAAGCAAGGCGCTCAATGGCTGGCCAATTGTTCTCTGCGAAATATTGTGGCAACGGAAACTTGAAGGTGGCCAAAATCCAAACCAAAAAAGTATCGAAAACATCATAGAGTTGGGAGGAAGAGACCCTGAATAGCGGTACCAAGTCCAGATATGATCCACCTGCAAGCATCCTCAGACCAATTGCAACTCGTATTTCCCCTGAAACAGGAGCAACTGCTTGTTCTCTTGGCTCCTGACTCCCATAAATTCGTTCGCGACGCTGAGAAAGAAATGACTCGGAACGAAACACTTCTGGTCCAATTTCATTGCAAATCGTTGCACATAGTGTGGCAAACATACTCTGGGTCATGCGAAACATCTTTCGGAAGTGGGATGCAGAAATTGTAGCTGTGAACTGGTCAAAAGTGGGCCGTAGGAGGTAGATTGGGAGGGATCTGTTCATGCGATGTTGTTCCGAAATATGAGTCTGAAGTAGACTTTCCCTGTTTTCCCTGCTCAGGGATTGCACACTTTCTAAGATGCAGACAGAAAAAAGCAAAAGTAGAAGCTGCCTTCCATCGAGAGGGGTTCTACTATCATTATTCATTGCTGCGATTCAATTATGAACGGTGATGAATGATTGACAAATGACGACAAGAAATCTTCGAATCTTGAGAAATTCGGATAGGCGTTCTGAGTTTTGATTGGCTATACGTCGAATATACAATAAATTAATTACCTCGCAATTTGCCCGCAATTAATTCGATATAGGTTTCTGAATCGACGTATAAAACGGTTGAAGAGCAGACAAAATACGTCGAATCTCATACATCGAATTTTGGTCATTTGGAATGGGCCTAAAATAGCATGAAGTAGTGTCAATCTTCAATGGTTCTTTTTCTCGCGGATTTTTGCGCGATGAAAGTTTACCGTACCTAGTATATATCGCATCAAATAAAAACCATCGACATATTTGGCGATACTGTACGATATTATTGACCAATGCCTACTAGTCCTATTTTTCAGCATTGTGTTCGTCAATATAGCTTTGTAAACCCTTCACGAATCTCCTCTCAGCCTTTCGACATCAGGACAAGAGAAAAAGCAATACACAACTAGGCGTCACTTCAAAAAGACCGAAAAAGCATTGGGAAAATGAGAAAATCTCCTCGGGTTATTGCCAGCTTCATCTTGGGATGTCTTTGTGTTTCCATCAGCACGTCATCGTCATCATCATCAGCAGCAGCAGCAGCAGCAGAAGAAGAAGACAAAGCCTATGCTTATCCAATGAACGATCCTCAAGATGCTGCAAGTTATCATATTCTTCAAATGGTAAAGTGGCTGGATGGTATGGAAGAGGGTTACTTCAACCCCAAGATTCAGATTCGACGGGCCAATCCTGACGATCCCACCTCGTATTTTGGTGTCTTTGCGGCGGAAGATTTGGAACAAGACGAGCTGCTATTGTATATTCCACCCGAAGCTCGAATTCATACCGACGTGAAGGATGGAGAATATACAGAAGTCTTGTGTGAATTAGCATGGACACTGCATTGGGAATTTGATCGAGGATACAATGGAGATTACATTCATTACGTCAATTACCTGAAACAGCTGCGACGAGATATTATTCCTGCCGTTTGGTCGCGAGAGGCAAAGGATTTGTTGATGAAAGTGCAAGATGAACTCTACATGAAGGATTATGAACCCAAGACTGCCCATGCCACCCATCTCATCAATTGGATCGAAGAATGGTTCCAAAAACCATGCCTCATCAACCCCAAGGGCAAGTACAGTTTGCATCCATACTTTTTGGCAGTGGTAACCCAACGGGGTTTTGACAATATGCTGGTACCAATCTACGACTTTTTCAATCATCACAACAACAATGTCAACATTTACAACCGAAAATCGATATACCATCGAACCGGATTCGACGTCTATGCGTCTCGGTTTGTGGAGAAAGGAGAAGAACTCTTTTTCTCTTATCACAACTGTCCCGATTGTAAGGAATGTGTCGACTGTGATAGTAGTCAAACCTATTGGGGAACTCCCGAAATGTTGCGGGACTTTGGATTTGTGGAACCCTATCCACATACCTTTTATTTGGGGGACTACATGACCTTTGTCGTTTCGAATGCCACATTGGGTACCAAGGAACCGACACTCCAGGATTTGTCCATTGAATACATGGACGAGACCTACCCATCCGCTGGAATCGTTGCGGAAGCCAAACGGGAATGGGTCCGCATTGAAAATGTCTATCAGAATGATATTCTGGCTGCGGATACGACCAAAATTGCTCCTCATGAACTCTATACAATCACACAATACTACAAGGCTCTTGTCAACGCCTTCAAACTCATGGTAATAACCTTTGATCCAGAGCTAGCGGCCAAAATGGAAGCCGAAGAAGCGGAAGAAGAGGAAGAAATGGAAGGAGGTGAACACGTAGAGGATCATGAAGAATGGGAAGATGAAGAAGTGGAGGAGTGCGTCGAAGAAAATGAAGAATCCTCCGAGGATCTATTTCTTGCCGAGATGGATCATCAGGAGGAGAGTGAAGATGAGGAGGACCAGTGCTGACCACGTACGTATTCTGAATGAAAGCAAGAAGAATATTTGGAGAGCCTTTCGCGGCGTGAAAGCTGATGGATGGATAGAGAGATCACCAAAGGGATGATGCTTGAATGATGGCATGCCTTTAGATACTGACACTAGCTGAAACGAGTTTGCAAACCCGTGCGATTTCAGACATAGATTCACTCCAATAGATGAGTCGGCATATGAATGGATGCAAACTCTTGCAAAATACTGGTGGCCCCTGTTGACTCCACATTCTGTCATCGAAGGAATAAATAATCCTGTGGTGGTTTGTGGTCTTGGGTCTGTTTCTGAAATGGGTGCAGACGGAGAAACAATTCAGTCGAAACTACTGGTAGTCCTAGTATAATAGTCGAAAATATATAATAACACCGGTAACATATTGAAATAACACTACGATACCGGTACAAGAGTATCGAAAAAATTGAAATAGCATCATTGGCGTTTGTCAATTTTTTCTATCCGACTACAGTACTATGTAGTATTTCGAATGAATGCTACCTGGTATTTACACATGTATGCATACCCACTATATATTAGATATATTACTGTAGTACTGGTACTGGTAAACGTACCACCGTACCACTAACATACGCCACGCATGACAGTCCGTCATCTCACATCTCATGCGTTCAAAGTTATTGTTACAAGTATTATACTGCACTGCATATACAATACTGCCATCGACATTCTTCCTCAGTCGGTCAAGTCAAGAGAAGGCTCAGTCTACTTTCAAGACGCCCCTAGCTCTGATGAGTGAGTCAGCCATTGCGCTGAGTAGAAGATTGATTCACCATTATTACTTCTGAAGATTGCGTCGATCATATTGATACCGGTATAGAACGCAACATCATATTATTCCAGCCATCAGAATGATGAATCTACTATTGTTGATTATGGCTTCGTCCATTCTTCTTTTATTTCAGCTAGGCTTGACTACGGCATTTCAGTCGAGTCTCCCTCTTTCCTTATCCTCCATACACCCACAACAAGCAGTATGCCAATGGCCATCTACAGCTTCAGCTTCAGCTGCTGTGGTTGAGGAAACAGAGTTGATAGAACGAACAAAAGATCCACCAGATGACTGGGATGAGCAATTTGAGAAACTCCAATCGTTCAAAGAAGAGCACGGACACTGCAATTTCCCCCAGAATGCTTCAATGGAGCTTCAAAAGCAGTATCCGACACTGGCAAGCTTCTGTCACCGTCAGCGCATTGACTACATGAATTTGCGGGCCGACAGGCGCCGCTCTCGCAGGATGGGCCTAACGACATTTGATCGCAACGCTCGATGCTGTCGACTGAAAGAAATCGGATTTGAATTTCATACGCAACGAGCCAAATGGTATGACCACTACTATGAACTGCTACAGTATCGCAGTGACAATGGTCATTTGCGTGTGACGGAAAGTGAGAACAGTCGACTCTACGCTTGGATATTTCGACAGAGGCAAATTGCAAATGGCGAAGACTGTCCAAATCGTTCCGAAGCACATGTCAAGTTGCTGGAAAATATCGGTTTCACATGGAAATCGGAGCGAAAGGACGCCTTATGGATGGAGAAATACCAAGAGCTTGTCGACTCTCGTAACAAACATGGGCATCTATTGGTAGACTATAAATCAAAGCTTTATGAGTGGATAAGCGTACAAAGAAAAAGGAGCAACTCTCTCACAGACGAACGAAAACGATTGTTGGATGAAATAGAATTCCCATGGAAGGGCGAGCGATTTTTCGACAGGTGGCTCGCCAAGTACAACGAGCTCGAAGAATTCCATAAGATACATGGACACTGCCAGCCATGTTACGTTCAGAACCTCCCTCTATACGACTGGGTAAGAACTCAACGCGTTCATCGTGACAATGGAGTTCTCTCGACCAGCCAAATTCAATTGCTGGACGATATCAACTTCGCTTGGGAACGCAAAGTAACTTGGCGAACAATGTTCGCCGAGCTTGTGGAGTATTACAATCTGCACGAACACCTTCAGGTCAACCAAGGTGATGATCCAGAGCTCTATGATTGGATGGCATTGCAACGGAAGCACTATCATGATGGGATTAGAAAGAAAAAAATGTCGGACATAAGCATCGAAAAGTTGGAAGAGATCAACTTTTGCTGGTCACAAGATTGGAAAGAACGGGTGTGGCATGAAATGTACACGGAAGCAGTCGAGTTCTATAAGGAGCATAGTCATGTTCGGGTGAAGAAGAAGGACAATCCAAGTCTCTACAATTGGATTGCGACACAAGGAAAGAGGTACAAGAAAACGAAGGGTCACAAACCATTGTCGGAAGAGGAATTGGAACTATTGGAACAGATTGACTTTGTTTTCTTCAACAACCAGCCTCGCATGTCTTGGAATGTAAGGTATGCTGAACTGGAGAGGTATCGAGAGGAGAATGATGGGTGTTTTCCAGATCACCGAGACGACCCGAAACTGAACTTATGGATCAGACAACAGCGTAAGAGACTGAGAAGCTCGTATGGATACATACCACTCTCGGACGAGCAAAAGTCAATGTTGGAGAGTATCGACTTTCCTATACTGCCCAAGGGACACGATTTGAGAGTCTGGTATGAAATGTATGATGAGCTAGTTGAGTTTTGGAAGCGCCATGGGCACTTTTTGGTGACACAATATGAACCCGAAAACCGAAAGCTTCTTAAATGGGTTGACTACCAGCGGTCGAAATACAATGGCTGTGGCTGTGTCAGGGCACTGACAAATTCAGAAAAGTATCTTTTGGAACGGATTGGATTTCCGTGGACATCTGGTTTCAAGGAAATGGAGTGGCAAACAACATATGCGGAGCTTGTCCGGTTTCAACAGAAACATGGACATCTGCAAGTTACAAAACGGGAGGACCGAGAGCTGTACAACTGGATAAAGTATCAAAGAGACAGGTACGCGAATAAAGGACCCACAAAGGTACCAACACACCAAATTGAGCAATTGAATAAGATTGGTTTTCGCTGGGTGACAGAAAATGACGACTGAGTTGCATCTGATGATTGTAACATTCCCCAATAATAGAAACTGAGTATGATAGAGTAATATCTTGCCTTTATCTTTGTTGTTATACATGTTTTTGGATCCCCTTCCTATTACATAGATTTTTGCCACAGTAGGTCACAACAGCACGATGATATACCGGTATATCATGTCCAAAACGAACTTGCAATCCCTCGCCATTCATATGCCCCCGTTTTCGTTGCAATTAGGAAATGACCTCACCCCTTTAATTCATACATTTTCCTAAAAGTGTTATTTTTCCTGTGCTGTATTCAGTATGACTTTTTGTAACAAAACATTCTAATTGGGTTAAAATAGTCGTATGACAGATGTCATTCGCAAAATCACGCCCATCCAGAAACATTATTGATTGTTTCAATCGAAATCGGTCATCCAACAGTCATTCCCCTCGGTGGCAAACGGTACTGTACGACACTGAGCAGAATCGACAATCTTTTTGTGGGGTATTAGCGCTTGAATTGTACCGTATTGGAACATTGTGATAGTGCATACAAACAAAAGCAACAAAGCAACAACATAAGTACAGTTTCACCAATAGAGAACAGTACGCATCAGATTGATTCAGATACATCATCTTTGAGTCCTACACTGCCACACCAGCAACTATAATACTTGACGTTTTCAGAACTTCAGGACGAGAAAAAGTTTAGACTGACGACGGCAGAGAAAAGCTTGACTCAGACACAAGACAAGACAAAACAGAGGCCCTGCATCAACCTGAATACCATCAACTGATTTATTGATTCTTTCGTCATTCTCGAAGCAATACCAACACACCTTCAGTGACACATCAAACGCAACGTAAGGGCGAATTAGGTAGTCTTCCACACACATCAGGCCGACACATATATCACCGATCAACACCATATAGATATAGATAAAAAAGAACAAAACCAAACCAAACAATGTCAGCAGTCGATTACGGGTACGGAGACGCACCACCGGATACGGCCACCGATTATGGCTATGGAGACGCGGCACCCTCTACCGCCACCGATTACGGTTACGGAGATGCGGCACCCGCTGCTTCGACGGATTATGGCTATGGCGATGCCACTCCTGATACTACGGACTATGGTTACGGAGATGCTACACCCAATACGGGTGATGCTTCCAAGTATGGATACGGCGACGACGGTGATGCCCAAAAAGTTGGTAAGTTACAAACAAACAAACAACCAACACAATTGTCTCATCTGGCCTCGCATGCTATGCGTGCGTGCGTGTGTGTGTGTGTTAGAGAGATTCATTTTGTTTTCATAATTGCTCTTTTGTTCATGTGATCTAACCTGAAAATGTCTTTTTTTTCTTCGCCTATCTGTATCCTAATGCTTGGTCATCTCTCCAACATTACCATTCATTCGTTGAACTCGTCTAATCAGGGTTAAATGATGAAGGTGGAGCCGCCCGACCTCGAAGCAACTCGTCGGACAATGACAGTGGCGGCGCTGCGGCCGGTGGCGCACGACGTGGTGGCCGATACCGCCGCCGAGGGTCCGTCACCAAGTATTCCTTGGATACGGCCGATACCGTCAAGAAGGAATACGACGAACACGAAGATGTCATCAACAAGTTTCGGAATCAAACCATATCCGGTAATGATCCTGCTCCACCCGCTCCGGCATCGGTCTTAGCACGTACTGGTTCTGGAGACAGTGGTGAAGCAGATCCAAGCGATCCGGATGGCAAGAAGAAAAAGAAAGGGTTCATGAAGGGACTGAGCTCACGAGTAATGAATTCTTAAAACAACAGCCACTAATTCCACATACATAAATGTCTACGTCAAGACGTTGTTGTTGCTGTTTTGATCGATTGATTGAAATTGTATTGGTCATGATTTCGATGATGATAATAACAACACGAAGAAAAGAATTAGGAGGATGGATGGATGGATGGATGGATTGATGAAAAATCATGTTCGTGGATTGAAGATACACTACTATTATATTAGTTAGATAAAGAATAAGATATATATGAACAGTACGAAAATCAGTACTGTATCAATTCCAAGACAAGTTCAGAATATGATATTACAGTACAAGTACAGTACCAGGGTACTTGTACCGGTACAGGTAGGTGTATCCATCGCTTCTCCAACCCTGTGATCTGACTGGATGGACTAATTAATTCACTTTCTACTGACACGTGTTCACTTATAGGGTCGGTCATTCAAAAAGATCGAATTCAACTTTCTTGTAAGACCCACTATATACAGTCATGTATACTTGTATGACGGATTCGATTGGTGTAAAATAGGGACAACGGAGACCATGCGACCTAAACAAGACAAGTCTTTGGCGAATTTTTTTCAGTGAGCTCCAATTGTGGAGGTACGTGCGGCACCTGGTGGGTGGGTGTATGTGTGTAAGGGTTTTGAAATTGTGAAAAGAGAAACAGCAGATTTGGAGTGATTGCGATAGTGGACTCCTTTGTCTGTGATCATTGTACCGGCATTGTAGTCAGAGCACCAGATCAGGTCAGAGAGCAAAAGAGAGAGAATGGGAAAACCCAAAGTGAAAGCAATAAAATGCTTTTCCAATTCCAAAGACAACAAATTGAAGCGTCTGGAGGAACAAGAAATGGCCAAAGCGATTGCCTTACAAACACGAAGGACGAGATCACTTCAGCAACAACAACAGCAACAGCAGAGAGGAAGACAGGGACGCCCGGAACCAGAATACATTGATTACAGTAATCTTCAGCAGCATAGTCATCAGCATCAGCAACAAAAGATGAATCATCCTCCCTATGATCCCTATGATCATATTCAGGTCTATCGTCCTAGCAATTCAGGTAATTCAGGCAATCCAGCATCAGGCAATCATCATCAGCAACCACCAAAGTTTGATATGAATGCTCTCTCTGGTTTGAGGTTAGGTCGCTCCAAAAGCGTTCCTCCTGAACTGCGCCAACACTTTGCGGTTTACAACATGTACGGAAATGAAAACGAAGAAGAGAAAATCATGGAGTTTAGCACGGACAATTCTATTACCAGTTCTCGAAAGAGTTTGACTGGGAATAACACTGCCCCCAAACAACAGCAACAGCGGCACATGACAGCTGATCAGAGAGTGGGACAGTTTCAGGCACGCATAAAGCAAATTCAGAATGAACTTGCTCTTCCACCTGTGAAACAAATATCGATTCAACCAGAGCAACAATACCAACAGCAGCCACAACACTATCAGCAACAGCAGCAGCAACAGCAACAGCAACAACCACTCCGGCACAAACTACCCAATCCGAGGTCCAAAACACCGGAACCCGTTCGTTCTGGGGTAATGGATCGATTTCGATCCAAAACACCCGACCCTCGACCTTCATCCGGCGTTCCAACCACCATTTTGAGGACCCAACGCTATCATGCCGAAAAGATTGTCACTCCGGACGGCAATATCATGCTCAAAAAGAAGATTGTCCACGTCAATCGCACTCGACCGTGTGTGGCGTGTGGATTTCGAGACTGGAGTCAGGACGACATGGCCTACTTACTAGTACGCCAAACCAAGAACGACAACAATTTGAATAGCAGCAACAACAACAACAACAAGGACGGCGGGAAATCGCCAAACACCGAAAATAGTCCACAACCACAAGTCAAGTGGCTCTGCCCTGACTGTGCCTGTGACAATGGTTTGCCCAAAGAACATTATCATTGGAACAAGAATCGATTGCCACCCGTCCCGGATCCTGTCATTGACATCACCATGAATCGGGCCATTGGACCTATTGATGCCGATGACATTGCCTGGGTCCAAAAGGCCCAACGCAAACCAAAGCCCATGAATTGGAAGTCCCAATATTCGGATTACTATTCCACGATTCGCAAGAAGCAACGACAAAAGCAGGCCATGTGCTGTGCGCCGCCGCCTCCCGAAGAATACTCGGATGCTCCGGAAGATGAGATTCGGAGGGCGATTGCCAATGCGTGTTTTGCGCCCGATCATGAACAAAGCGATGTGGGAGAGACCTGTTACAATTACGTGGGGGATTTGTAATGACTATTGAATACTGATGGCAATACAACAATGGATTGTATCATATTGTCCAGGGGGAGGACTATCTACAATGCGATTGTGAGTGACCATTATTGACCAATTCATCTCTATTTGGGGGTTTGTTCTTGGAATAATTATAATTTATAAAACAAATCGTTTCTGATTGATTACCAGTAGGATACAGTACAGTAGCTTTATTATTCTTTAGCATTGTTTTAGACAGAGCATGTACGGTACTGTCCTTTAATATCCATCCACCCGATGAGCTTTTTCAATGGGGACTGCCCGGAAGACTCCCAAGATTCGAGATTCTTCTCGTCTCCAACCAGTGTGCCATCCGATTTGACGGACACTGATGATGCCTTCCTTGTTGGATAGCATGATTTGTGGTGGGCTGGTGGGGTTGTTGCCAGAGGATGACTGGAGAAAACATGGAAGTGAAAAATATAATCTTCCCTTTGGAATGGAAACATCTCCATCTTCCATGCCATTCACCGTCACGTAAAATCGCAAGGTCTGAGATTTCCGACGAGAGGATGATAATCCATCCACTCGATATCCTCCTTGGTGGGGTTCTGTCACGTCCATTTCGTCAAATCCACTTCGAAGTCGAGCCTTGTTGGCGGTATGAACTGTAAAGCAAGGAGAGGATGCCCCCATTTGATTGTCCGAAACCATTTTGGCTTCCATTTCGGGAGTTGCTTTTTGACTCGAAAAGCAAACGTCCAAGGTACCTTCGATGCGTCGTCCCGAGGCTCCCCATCGAGGATCCATCCACGTACCTTCTTCTCGACCAACATCCAAATACAAACGATAGGTTTGTGACTTCAATAATGATTCGGCGGTGTTGTCAATATTGGAAGCATCGCTTGAGGCATTCTTGTAATTGACGGACCATTTGGATTGTTGCTTGAGAGCAGTGGTCTCTTGTCGTTCTGATGTTGCTGGAGAAGAATCTTCTGGCTTGGATTGATTAATTTCTTCTCGCAGTTTCTGAGCCTTGGCCAAAAGCTCTTGAGCTTCTTGTTGGAAGTCTCCTTGTTGTTCTTGGTTGGCCAATAGTTGGGTAGTACTAGTAGGGCGTCTTGAGGGAATTGCAGATTCCAGGTGGTGGTGGTGGTGGTGGTGGTGGTTGGCAAAACTTGTATGCTCTGCACGCATTGCTTTTGTTGGAGAGAAGGCAGAGGCAAATATGGTATTGCTGAGTGCTGTCATCAATACTAATACTAAAAAGAAGAAGAAGAAGCACATTCTGAAGTCGTGGTGCCACTGGTGTGCCATGATGGAATTGTTTGCCTTGTATTGTTGTTGCCTCGACATTCTGAATTGATCTATTTCGGTAATATACGCTTCTATATTGTCTGCTTTATATTGTGATGAGTGGAAGCTGATGATTCATTCCACTGCGTGTAAATATTCTCTCATTTGTCATTAGAACCTACAGTACACTGTGATGATGATGACGATGATGATTTTGTGAGTTGGTGGAAATTGGGATCTATATCAGTACTTGCATATTGACTAACACAGTACCACCAAATCCTCGAGCCAGCCGTGCTACTGCCCGATGCAATGAAAGTTGGCCAGCTCTTTTCAGTCAACCAATCAAACCCCAAAGAGTTCCTGTGACCAGTCATCCCGTAGCCCGTAGCACGCGTGCACAGTACCGCTAATATGGATCATAATATAACGCACGGGAAGGAAACCTGAAACTTCCTTTTTCTGATGTCTCTTCAAGTGTATCATGGATGCAGAAACCCATTGTGGCAACAACATCTTGCACACTTCAACCATAAACTGTCACAACTGATTGGCTTTGGAAGCGGGAAAGCTGCAGGAGTGAAACTTGTGATAAAAGACTGCACAGAAAAGTGGATACTTCGAGGCGGTGTCTTCCTGGAAAATGACAAGCAGAATGAAATGAATGAATTCAAAGTCCTTTCTTTTGTCAAGAAAGCTCTAAGGACTTCGAGAGAAGCGAATCAAAAGAAAGCTAGAACCCTGAAGATGCTTCAGGTTCATCCTCCTTCAGGGAGGAGGACTCCATCACATCGAATAAATGACAGTGACGATGGGAACGACATCGATAGTAAGGACTCTTTACACAAGAATGAGAATCCCCCCGCTTTACCTTCATCTGAGAGCGATAAAAAGAAAGAAGCAGCTTCCAGTCGCAAACCAAGACGAAGATGGGTCTTACCGAAGAGGCTTGAGAGCAAAAAGATAGTACCGGTACGGAAGCAAGAACAACCAAAGCAGCAACGGATAGAAAAATCCGAGAAAATAGGGATCGTCATACCCAAAGGAAAAACGAAGAAAAGAGGTCAACATTTTCCATCAACTCGGGCGGAAACTGAAGCGGCTTGGACCCTAGCGACAATGGAAGGAAGCAAGAGGTAGATAAGAATTTACAATCGAAGGCTAGTTGCGAAAGTATTTGGGGTATTATCCCTTCAGCTTTTGATTGACCTTGTGGAAGTGGAAGCTTCGTTGCCTGTTGGTTGTTGGCATGATATTATGAAGCTCTTGTGACGTTATGTCTCGCCTCTGATGCCTCATCAGGCGGCGGATGCTGCTATCAACGAAAGGAGTCAAGGGAGGTATCTGACAATTGGACTACGGTCTCATTCCCGCAATCGGCCACAAATTTCATCCTCGTGACCTATTTTATACTATGTATGCATAGTATATTAATTCATTTTGATCACCTCTTAATAATCGTTATCGTCACTAGATGATTGGCTACCGCCATCACTGCTGCACGAGTTACTTTCATAGAAGTATGCGATCATATTTGGGATGACAACTGAAGCACCACTTCGAATACGATATGCTTCACGGCCATCCTCTTTGTCGACAGCAGTCTCTATTGGTGCACAATCTGACGCCTTCATCTCCATCTTCCAAAGAGACAACTCCAACAATGTGATGGCTTCAATCTTCTCGTACCGCGACAGAGCCATCAAGGCTTCTCGAAGCAAAGATCGTCTTTCTTCCAAAACGTCCTCGGCCATAATCGCATTAATTCTACTCGAGATGCCCAATTTCCATGCTTCCAACCCATTCCAGCTCGATATAGCACCCACCAACCATCGATGAAGAGTCATTCGAAGCATGTCTCGTGAGTTTTCAGACAGATGATAGCTTCGTTGGGTCAAGTATTCAACGGCTGTCTTTCCGTTCAAGTCTTTCCACCCGAGGATATACGGTGGATACGCATCTAGTAGAACTTGCAAAAGATCAAGTCTGGGGTTTGCAGCCGATAATAGAACGTGAAATGGTGTCATACCGAAAGGATCTACCAATTGATCGTGTGTAGTATTGCCTTTTTGCGACGATTGCATTGATGACTCAATCGCCTGAGCCAGTTCATCTGTTGTTGTCACAGAGGCGTGGTAACACCTTTTGTGTATTGGAAAGTTGTCAAATCGGTGCTTCAGGGAAAGCAAAATGCTATCATTGTCATATTGACTTCGCAGCGCTGTGCAGCCTATAAAATGTTGGGAAGGCTTTGTTCTTCCGAATTCCCTGGAATCTGAGGGAAGACAAATATTTACGAAAGACTTGCATCCCTCAAAGGCCTTGCCATGTATCCTCAGATCTCTAGGACCATCTCTCAATTCCACTGAAACCAACTTGCGACATCGTCCAAAAGCCAATGCGCCAATTATTTCGACCGACTCTGGTAGCGCAACTGATTGCAAATTCTTGCACGAGGCAAAGGCATGAGTGTCCACATATTTGAGACCAATCTGAAAGTTTAGTATCCCCAATGAAGCGCAGTCCTGGAATGCTAGTGATTTGATGCGCTCAACAGTAGAAGGAATGCTGATCGTTTGCAATTTGACACAACCCAAAAAGGCCTGCTCCCCGATCGCCATCAAATTTCCTTCCCCCATATTCACTTGCTCCAACGAGGTACATTTATAAAAGGCAGCTTTGCCTATTATTTCAAGAGTTCTCGGAATGTCCACATTTTGCAATGTGACACAGTTGGCAAAAGCACGCTCTTCCATTACTTTCAGCCCCTCCTGAAAAGACACTCTTGTCACGCACTTACAATCATTAAAGGCACCATATCGAATGGTCTCCACACTAGAGGGAATGCTCACCTCGGCTAGTGCGCGGCAATAGGCAAAGGCCGATTCTCCAATGGCGGCCAATACACCATCTTCATCAAAATGAACTTGCCTTAATGACCGGCAATACGAAAAGGCATCGCGTTCAATAGTTGTCACGGACCGAGGAATCGCGATTTCCAGCAAGCTCACACATTCATAGAACGCATATTTTCCAACAGTCTTTAAAGCGGATCCATTGAAGCTGACGAGTGTCAGCCGCTCGAACTTGTGACAAGCTGCATCTGGAATCTCTCGAACAAGTGGATGAACAACTAACTCCGACGTTTCTCTTGGAATCCTTTCTCGTTCGTTGCCAAAGTAGTGATAAGAAGCCATCCTCTTTCTCTTCCTATTCAATGTGGCTTATTGTGCCAATGATTCTGACTCAAAAGTTGGGTACCAGGTACCCTCAAATTGTAGGATGACATGCATTTTGTTTTCAATGATAAAGACTAAGAAAGTACCTCAGTGGCATAAGTTACTGGACGACTGCTCGGACCCTTATCCTCACAACCGCACGCTTCGTAGGATTCAACAGGTTCCCCTACTTTAAACTTGTCGTATGTAAAAATGTACCAATTTTTGTACCGGGAGTTTTGTACACAAAAAACGCCGTAAAGAAAATGACATCAAACTCCTGAGGTACAAAAATTGGTACATTTTTCATATACCAGCACTTGTACAAGATTTTAATTGTTGGAGACCTGTCCACTGAATTAAGACCTGTTTGTGTGTAATTTCCAGCAGAACTCGTTCAAATCACGGAATTTGACCGTTGCATGCCACTGGAACCTTCCAATGGGAGTTACCTACAATAACATGTATTCAGTTCTGTTGAAGGGCATATCCTCCTTGACTTATAATCAATCTTCCAACGGAACACAAGGCATCTTCGATAAAAATGATATTTACACACGGATCATCGCCAAGACGAGCCAGCACGTTTTTTTCTCGTACCATTTCCACATACGACGAACTACACTTGGCGGCAAAATCTGACAGATCCGCAATGAGATCCAAATCAAATTCAAGAGCAGTCGCGCGCTGTTGGTTGACGATGTTGTTGTCGGAATGAAAGACATCATTGCAATGCTTCCACATGCCTTTACCGATAAGGATGAGCTGTCAAGATAGATTGGCAGCCCAAAGGTTACCGGATCGGCGACTACCGCGAGAGCGGTAGGTCAGCCCAGCCGTGGACGAGAAGGCCTTCAAGGAGACATTGGGGGCCAAGTGGCTGTGCTTCCCTTCTTATTGACGTTGAGTATTCAGGAACTGTTTCTTTGGACAGACTGTCTGTAAAGGATAATGTTGCTGCAATATGAAATGCTGCTACAGAAATAAGGCAATTTCATTTGGAGGTAGAAGATGTCTGCGATGGAGAAAGAAAGCCACGAAAATAGTGCAACGGAAGAACAGAAGAGCGTGAAAATTAAGCATGAGCCTGGAGCAAAGGGGCCAGGACCAATCGTCAAAACAGAGAAAGGCCATGGATTGGAAGCTACGAGCATGGAAATTGACATGAAAGTAAAGAATGAGCCCAACGCTTTCGAGGAACGAAAGCCGAAGGCCAAGAAGATCCTCACTGATTCCTTGCTGGGGACCGGCGCCAAAAAGCCGCCTTTGAAAGCAAAGTCGACACTAGCCAAGGTGAAGAAGGAGAAAGCACGACTTCCGAAAACTAAGAAAACGGGACGTTGCAAGTGCAAAGGAGATTGCAGATTCGCGGAACTCTTTAAGAAAGTGATGGCGAAGCAATCTGAGAAAATGGGTCCTCATGTCCACGGTCAATACCACAATTCGAATTCACAGAGGAGAAAGCGCTTCTATAATTACTGCAGCCGAGAAGACAAATCGCTCAATGAAAAGAAGATGGACCCGTGCGTTCTCCTTTTTGCAAGGGCGCGTTTTCCATAAGAGACTCAGTTGGAAAGCCTCCGATATGTCAACCCGTGATGTCCATTTATAGAGTAATCTAGGCTTTTATGTTACAGACGCCACTCCCAGTTTGACTCCAAAATGGAGTTGCCATGTACTCCGAAACTAGCTGCAATTAGATCTGTGACATGGTCTCACAATTTCACCATGGCGCGTTCCAATCGCAATGTGACCTCCGCCAAGCCCGGCTCATGTCCAATGAATAAGAAACTTCGGAATGCTGTTCTTGACGAGCTGATCACAACTCATGAACAAAATCCGAATAAGCGACGTGGTGACATTGCGCGGATTGTAGAAGCAAGCCAAGAAGAATACCCTTATGTTACCAGGGATAACTTTAACAATCGTTGGAGAGCGCTTAAGAAGCAAAGGAAAGAAGCTGCAGCAGCTACAAATTCAACCGAAAATTCTGCCGGAAGTTCTGAAGGCTCTGTGCTCGCGAATGCAGCAGAAGGAGATTTAAATTCAGCAGAAAAGGCGGGAAGAAAGAAAGGATCCACAGACGCCGCAAAGTTGGAAAGGACACAACAAGAAATGGAAGCTCTTCACTGGGTCACCATGAAGTGCAAGGAGAGCAAAGACCGGAATCCGAAGAAAATGAAAAGTGGTAAGTAAGCAATGAATTCATCGATTCTTCTCTCAGTATACAATGCGCAGATACTCACCTAAACTGCTTTGTATAGGCACGATTGATCACCTCATAACGTCAGCAAGATCCAAATTCAAGCTCCCTCCCATGTGGAATCCGAGCAAGGAAACCATCAGGACGCGACTGAAGAAGAAAATCCATGTGGTCAATCCAAAACGGGGACCCAAGAGTCCTGTGCCCGAGGCGGTTGAACGGACGGTAGTGGAGATTGCATGTGAATCCAACAGGTGCGGAAGACCACTGGATACGTCGGAGATAATTGACCTTGCAAATGACCTCATCAAAGGCCAACCCATCGAGAAGGATATCATAGACTGGCAAATTCGCTTCTGCCCAACAATACGTAAACGTTTCAAGGAGACCAAAGAACGCCCTACATCGGCCAACCTTGGACCCGGATGGTACCAGGGCTTCAGGCAACGAAATCCAGAGATAGCAACTGCAAAGGCAATCAATCATGATGAGCGCAGAGCATCCTGGTGCAAGTACGGAAACATGTCAGATATGTTCGGCATGATTTACAAGAGATTGAAAGAAGCTGGCCATGCCAAAGAACTACCAACTCCGCAATGGCAGGATCTTCATGGCAATGTTGTGTCTGAGAAGGAAGCATATGGCCATCGAGTCGAATACTATTTGACACATTCCCGATAGAATCCTCATGTTTGATGAAATGGGAAGTAATACAAACACCACAAAGGACAAGAACTCTGGCAATTCGAAATTCCACGTCCGAAAAGGAGAGCGATGCAGGAATACTGCTTTCAACGGAGACTGTCATTTCACTGGCTTGGGTGTCACGACAGCAACCGGGAAACCTGTTATGTGTGTGACCATCATCCAAAAAGAGACGGACCTGAGTACTGCCGAATATCTTGGCCACAACGAGGGTGCTCACTGGGTGGGTGACAAGAATGACATCAAGGGGAACACAGGGCCAGATAAATTCTTCTGCGGGGGGCCAACTGTGAACTTCAATGGTATTGACATCCCGCCCCTGGTCGTCCACTCTTCTAGTGGTGGCATTACACCTGAGATTTTAACCTTGGTCGAGGACAGGCTTGATGAACTCAATGTCTTCCCCAGAGGCAACGGAAAACCCGACCCAGTGATTCTAGTTGACGCCCATGGATCGAGACTTTCCGCTAAGTTCCTCAACTACGTATTTAATAAGGCTCACCGGTGGATTGTTTTATTTGGACTTCCGAATGGAACTGGATTTTGGCAAGTCGGTGATTCAAATGCTCAAAATGGAAATATGAAGGCACACCTTGTCAAGGCCAAAAGGGAAGTTCTCCAAATGCGGATGGCAAAAGGTCAACGTGCTGCAATCTCAAGGAAAGATGTCGTCCCACTTGTCACCAGCGGTTGGGACAAATCATTTGGTCATATTGAGAACAACAAGAGAGCCTGCGCCACAAGAGGATGGAATCCTCTCAATCGAGGATGCCTTGTGCACCCAGAGATCCTCCGGACGAAGGTTGATATCACGTCCGATCTCACGTCTGACCAAGAGATGCCAGAATCTCAAGACACACAATATTCCAATGGTGGTAGTCAAGTATCCACAGCATCGGCTGTGACAATTCCCAGTATGAACACAGATGGCTTGGCTGGGTTTTATCTTGACCACATATCCCAGCAGCGTAAGCGAATGGTAGACCAATATAGACTTGAAGATCCATTACCATTATCCATTACCGGTACTGCTGTTTGGGCGTGGACTTCAATTGGGAATTCTTGAAATTCGTGCCTCCGAATTGGGAATTCTTGAAATTCTTGCCTGTCAAGAAGAAGGAGACCCGGAAGTAGATATGGTATCCAAACCAATTTTGATTGATTGCTGCATCATCTACAGTACCGGTAGAGGATGGGACCTGCCCAACTTTCCCAGTCTTTTTCCAAATAGGCAAGACTGCCTCCAGGAACGGCCGGGAACAGTGGTCCGACTAGTCATTTCACACGTACTTGCCACCTTGCGATTGGAATCTTGCAGGCGGAATCTTTAAAAATCAATGAAGTGACCATCTCGACCCGAAAGTCCACACGCGAGCAGTCAAAATAAGACGAATCGGGTAGCAAAGGGTGGAAGACGACATATAAGAAAAAAGTATGCCCGTCCTCGTTAAACATTTCTCGTTTTCCTGATTAGGGACAACTTCACCAATGACTACCGGTAGGTCCTATGTATTAGTGAAGGCTCATATATATATGAAGTCAGACGCGCGGTCCATCTGCTTACGGCTCGATTTGCTCGGCAGTACAGGCAGCACAGTTGGCTGTGGTCAGATTGACATGGCTCGATTGGCTCGTGGTCAAATTGACCACGGCTTGACTGGCTCGTGGTCAAATTGACCACGGCTCGACTGGCTCGTGGTCAAATTGACCACGGCTCGATTGGCTCGTGGTCAAATTGACCACGGCTCTACTGGCTCGTGGTCAAATTGACCATCCAATCAAATCATCCCACTGAAAATCCCGATTCTCAAGCATGTTGAATGTTGGCGCGCGGGAAGCCCGCAATTAATCATCGCAAAACGGTTGTGAAAAGTCGCAAGTCACAACAACGGCACAAAGTACGCACTGGTACAACGAAACGCTCATCCATGACCAAGCAACGTCAAAAGTCATCGCCCATGTTTCACAATAAGGTCCAAATGGTGGGACTCCTCAACAATCAGCGACTATGGCCGATCTTCCAAGCTTCTCTTGAACGATTTTTCTCACAATCTGTGCAATATGGCAGGAATCAAGGCAAATTCATTTCCAGGGTCCACTGCTGTTGCGGTACAGAAGAAAGCAAACAAGCGTGGAATGGAACCCAGCTGTTTGGATCTTCACAAAGCAAAGAGACCCAAGCAAACTAAAAAGGAGAAGAATGAGCGCCATGTCAAAAATATGCCTACTATCCAAACAAGTGAGGAATACGGAATTATCTTGAAGCACGTCTGTTTGGCTTTGGAGATGGAAAAAAAACAGAAGACCGATGCACCAATCTCCGTCAAACAATTTGCTGCTACGTATCTAAAAGAAGCACCAATCGATTCAAAGATCAAGAGTATTGCGTTGGGCATTGTAGGGAATTGGACGGAACTGCTACCTTTGCAATCTCCAGAATCACAAATCATTGAGCTTTGAAATTCGAGACCAACACTACAGCAGAAATATCATCGGTTCTGCCAAGTATGATGCGACGAATACCAGCATCCTATTAATAAGCTAGATATGTACGGAGACAAATAATTTAACGAATAAGTGCTAGATCGAAGTTCCAGCTAGAAGTCTTGTAGCTTCATCGATCATATCAGAGGGCGGCTCCGGATCCTCTTCAATGGGACGACACTCTTCAGGTGGTTCAATGTTGTTGTCAAGGAATTCCTTTGCAAGGGCCCCAAGACGATGTCCTCTTGTGCGAAAGTTGACCATTGGTCTTAGTCTATTGTAGCACCTCTGGTGGTTGACACTACCAGGAGGACCAGATGCAAGGTTGAATCCGTAGTGCGGTACTGTTGGATCTCCTTCTCTTTCGGCGGCGCTCTTGAAGCCATCATAGTACATGAAAAATATAAAGAACTCCATCACATCCTTGCCAGCCAATTCATCCTCAAACTTCTTCATGGGAGTTCTCTTGTCTTTGCGATCCTCGACCATTTCATGGATCTGTTCCGCAGTGAAAGTGGGTCTTTGGTCCATCGGTGGGATGATTTCGCCTTCTTCCGATTCCTTGTCAAACAAGCCATGTGTTGGACCAACCGAAGCTGAAGTGAATGAGTGGTTTGAAGACAAAAGGGAGCGACAAGAGGAAGCTAAATATATTCACCAAGCCTTCAAGGTATGGCACAAGTTCTCTTCCGACGAACAGCCTCCCCTCAACTCTTTTATGTGTCAATATCTACTGTGTGTCTCTTGCAATGCCAATGTGGTTAGAGCCGCTTTCCGCCTTTTCGGGAAGGACTTCCAGAAGTATCTCACTGAACTTCGCCCAAGGGATTTGGCGTTTGGCCAAGAATATAACATTGCCCATCTCTGAACCTAATTGAGGCTCATCATGGTTTAACTTTTGTAGTAACGGCAGTTTAAGATAGTTATAGCGTTCTAGTCATTGAAATCTGAAGCAAGAACATACAGTTGCAACTCCTTGCAGACTACAGTAGATTAATCGCAAATTGAAACTACTAAAAAAGGCTATAGCTACTGAAGCCGCGTTCACTGTGCTGCTGATTGGGACTGCAAAGGATTACACCACTACTGGTAGTATCCTCTCCAAAGGGAATCATAATCGCCGGAGCAGGTCTGTAAATTATCTATTCCAATAGCTTTGTGAAACTTTGCAGGCCTTCTTCTTCGAAACAATGCGGGCTCTTATTCGGTTTTGCTTTTTCGCTTTTTCCTTTTGAGATCCACTTGACAATATACGCTACACAACGGTCTGCTCAATCTACCAGAGACTCGGTACAGCCTTCTTCCTCGAAGATCATGAATCGCCATCCATTCTGTGTGTCCAGCTCCGCCTTCCAAACCATCCTCGCATTTTGCTGCTGTACTCGTGTCTCCAGGATATTGGATTTCAACATGCCTATGCTCTATCAAGATCTCATTTGGCGCAGTGTCGAGCTACCTGTGAGTTTGTTGTAGCGTGTCTTGTTTGTTGTCGCGTGTCCTATACATCCCCTCATCAGTTCTATCATCATCAGCCAGTCGCCTTCTTTTGATGTCTTCATCGTCATCTGTTCTATATCTGTGTCATGTTCAGTTTCTAATGACTGATTCGAATTTTCCTGTTTCTCTGCAGCTGTTGTATAGTCTGCTAACATCTCTCCAACACCATTTCTTTGCCGCAGCTGATACTCAGTTTTCGAAACCACTGTGAGCGTTTGGACTCTGTCCAAGAATATGATGGTCAATTTGACCATCCAATCATAATGTATGACATTTTCCGTGTATATCATTGGATGGTCAATTTGACCATCCAATCATATCGTCTGACTTTGTTTAATTTATGATTGGATGGTCAATTTGACCATCCAATCATAATGTTTGACATTTTCCATGTATATCATTGGATGGTCAATTTGACCATCCAATCATATTGTCTGACTTTTACCAATTATGATTGGATGGTCAAATTGACCATCCAATCATATTGTCTAACTTTGTACAGTATATGATTGGATGGTCAAATTGACCATCCAATCATATCGTCTGACTTTTACCAATTATGATTGGATGGTCAAATTGACCATCCAATCATATTGTCTAACTTTGTACAGTATATGATTGGATGGTCAAATTGACCATCCAATCATATCGTCTGACTTTTACCAATTATGATTGGATGGTCAAATTGACCATCCAATCATATTGTCTAACTTTGTCCAAGCATATGATTGGATGGTCAAATTGACAATCCAATGATATCGTCTGACTCTGATTAATTCTGATTGGATGGTCAAGATGACCATCCAATCATATTGTCCAGGTATATGATTGGATGGTCAAATTGACCATCCAATCATATCGTCTGAAGGCACGTCGGCCATCGGCTTTTGTTCAAGTATGATTGGATATTGCCTGGAGACCCACGTGCCCTTCGAGCTTTATCCAAGTATGATTGGATGGTCAATTTGACCACGGCTCGATTGGCTCGTGGTCAATTTGACCACGGCTCTACTGGCTCGTGGTCAATTTGACCACGGCTCGATTGGCTCGTGGTCAATTTGACCACGGCTCGACTGGCTCGTCAGTAATTTGAACTAGAGGCTGCTGGCTCGGCATCGAAAATGAAACCACACAGCCTTCGTCAAGTTCGTCACTGGCTGGCTCGTCATGAGTCTGACCCACGCTCAGACTGACCTCTGCGTGTGAAGCATTATAACAAATTTCTCCTTTACTTATTACATCGTTCTGGATGGTGGCACTGGAACAAAAGGGACGAAGCTTGGTGCTATTAAACTAGTTTTTGGCTCCACTCCTGCGACGGAGATGACAGTCTTCTTCTTTGATCTTTTGGCGAGCGGAATCGGACCGTACTTCGAAAATCCAAATTTTTGAATTCCGCGACTCAGATTCCTTTTCCATTCTTTCTCCAAACCTTTGGCCGACTACCCCGACCCCCGTTCCCGGCCGTTCCAGATTGTTGAGATTTGGTACAGTAGGCCAGAGGTTCGGATTACTGGGTCATTTTGTGTTATTTGGTCCTTATGTGTTCTCTGGTCCTTATGTGTTCTCTGGCCCATATGTGTTCTCTGGTCCATATGTGTTTGGTCTTTTGGTGTTCTTTGGTCCACTTGTGTCGTCCATTTGTTTTCATTGGTCCATGAGTTTCTGTCTCTATGTCGACGGGTCTTATGCAGATGCAACTTTTAGTAGGTTTTCAGCCAATGAGAGTTAGTCAAATCACTAAAAAACAACCCACTTGTGGTCTGAACCAATCACAGCGGGCCATTCACTAAATATAGACTATCTGGTACGAGTTTAAGACCAATTATGTCCGTTAACATGTAGAACGTGTACCAGCGCAAAACGTGTTGTCGTTCGTAAAAACGGCGTAATCTGTCCGTTTTCCGACCAAGATTTCGAGTTTACCAGATCACTTAGAGTAGCTTCTCCACCCCTTAGCCTTGTCTAGAAATGTCCAATCTACCTGAAGTCAGAATGCTGGTAGGTCTATAATTGCGAGCTCAGCTGAAGGAATAGAGCGGCTAAGCGACCCGGATATGACTGTAGTAGAGAGTAGAGGCATTTTTCGTCCGTTTTGGTACCGTTTTTGACGGGAGCTAGTTTCATGTTGAGATGCATCGTATCATACAAGTACGACAAGTTTTTAAAGTAGGGGAACCTGTTGAATGAATCCGATGAAGCGTGCGGTCGCGCGAAAATTGAATAAGTGACTGAATGAATGACTCACATTCAGACTGTCCTACGACCTGAAAATGAACCATCATTGTTATTGACTATGACACATTTCGTAAATTTCATCGACTCCTGGGATTAAAGTTGAAGATCTTCGATCTCATCGCCTCGTCCATCATCAATTGAAATTCGCACATCATCATTCATTCATTCATCATTCGACCAAGCATCAAACGAAACAATCGCCATGGCAATGACAAAAAACGATTCACCTTCTTCATCATCAAAAAGAACTTCTGTCCCAATATGCAACAATTCTAGCTGTTGGTCTTTGATAGTACTAACCGCAATGACTTGTACTATGATTGCTGATGGATTTGTATTACCTTGTTCGCATACCACGAGGCATCCTTGGTCACTGAAGCTCGAGGCTCACTGTTGTCAAACTCTTCCATAATCCCACCCAGATTGTCTGCTACAACTCAATTACAACGCATTCCCACCCAGAAGTTGGCGTGGGCTTGTCCGCTGCCTTTGGGGCGTGGTTGTACATTGATGGTGCCGACGTGCGCCGACGATCGAGCACGAAACTCGATTCGAGAGGAAGAAAACGCTCGTTTCGAGGCATACCAGGCAACAAGAGACCACAAGACATATGTGGAGCCCAAGGACTATTGGACCTTGGACGAATTGGCAGAGTACGATGGGTTCCCACCTGCCTACAAGAAGACAGACGCCGGCGACAACGACAACGACGAGTATGTTCTAGGTCTCCCATTTTGACAGCTGCTGGTCATTTGGTCTTTAACGATTGGAAAGGCAGAAACTTTTATGGGTCTGGCGGTGAATACCATGTCATTGCCGGCCTAGATGCTACTCGACAGTTGGCCAAGACGATTGTTCGTGAAGAAACGGCAGAAGAGGCCTCCAAACCTCTCAACATTGGGGAAGAGACATCTTTGGCAGTAGTGTGGGTCTTTACTCTGGGAAACAAGTACGAAGCTGTAGGGAAACTGAAGGAATTTGATCCAATGCTTACTTTTTCCAATTTGACACAGTCGACAGAGAGCAAAGGTCTCAATTATTTTCAACCCTTTCTGGAAGGAGACTCTTGCCAAGCGCTGGCATCTTTGGAACGCATCTGGTCCAACAGTCTCCACACTAGAGGAACAATAGGTAAAGGCATCTCGTCCAATGGTTGTTAACAAACCATCTTCATGAAAATGAACTTTCATTTGGAATATCTCCTTCGTCTTTCCACAGTCGTGATAAGAAGTCATTCCTATTGCTATTGAATGGTTATATCCATTTTTCAGGCATACTTTGTGGCAATGTCGATGATATGTACATGTATTTTATTGCTGCTTTGTTGGAATATGTTTGGACTACATGTCAGTTCTAAATGATAATTTCAGAATATGAAGTGTACTTTATAAAAAAAGGTTTTGTAGAAAAGTATCCTATCCTTATACCCATTTTTTATGTCAATTTAAGTTATCTGTAAATTACGGGCAATCCACGTCCTGTTTTCTTCCTTAACTATGGCAATGGTTGTTGGTTTAGTTATCCCACCACATACCACCGTCCACAGGTGTATCGTCCTTGGGTGGAGGTGCCACTTCCTTCAAATCTGGTTTGGCAACCCCCGATCCTTCTGGTTCCTTTTCATCTTCCGATTCCGATGGTATCTCATCGGACGAAATGCTACCATTATCATCCGATTCGGGTTCCGCTTTCGTTTCTTTTTTGGGTTCGGCGTATCGTGCCTTGCCACCACGTGCCAGTGATGGATCGAAATGAATGGGATCCACATGACCGGTTCCCAAGATTTCCCATCCTTTTTCCACATACAAAACACATTCCTTGGCGGACTTCTTGCCGAGTAGCTTGGTGGCAAAGGCAGCGTCGGCATAATTCATAAAGTTGGTGTCATTGACCGAAGCCACGCGATCACCAAATTCCAATTGTGGGCCACCTCCTGTATTTTTGGAGGGATGAAATATACTGTCGGCGGAGATTCCACACACAAACAATTTATCTCCGACCTTGGTAAAAGCCACTCCTACATCTTGCCCATCTTTTCCTTTGGTAGCCTTGATCATGATTTGCTCCTTTTCTTCTTCGTCTCCCATCCCATCGGCAAGTTCATAAGGTATAGGAGTTCCATCCGGATTCAACTTGATTTCTTTTTTAAAGACTTTCTTTTCTCCATCGGGTGTGGGACTTTTACCCCAAGCAGATGGCTTTTTGGCGACAATGGTAATCTTTTCGATCGTCTCATTGTCTACTGTTTCTTCCATGTATTCAACAAGAGTTTGACGTTTGGTAATGCGTTTGCCATTGATGGACAAGATTTTGTCCTCGACTTCGAGTTCGGAGCCGTGAAATAGACCGCTCTTGGAGATTTTCTTGACAAACACGGTTCCATCCTTGTCTTGTTTCAAATCGACACCAAATTTTTGGTCGGGAGACTTCTTCGTGAGGGTCACGCTGATCATTCCTTGTTTGGCGACCATGGTTTATTTCTGTGTGTTTGATCGATTGCTTTGGTAGGTAGTTATGGGAAACTATTGAAGCTGTGTAATACCTTGGTTACTGATGAGGGTGGGTTGGTATCCGTATCTTGCTTGCTGTACAATAATACGGTCAATTGCAATGATGATAGAGTTGGAGCGTTTGTAATCACCTGTCTGTTTCGGATCGAAAATTGGCACAAATATTATGACAAAAGAGGTCACAAAGACCACCAAAAGCTTGCCAAAAGGACCGTCATCGAATACTTAGTCGAACAGGTCGAAGTTGTCGCACCAAAGGGGAGATGTTTTTATTTTGTGTACAGGTAGACAAAGTACTGGTTGAAATACGTGACGTCAGTTGTATCTTTGACTGTTCCGATTGGTCCGATCCTGTGGATGCTGTGGCAAATTTGAAAAAAAAAAGAACAGCCCACGAACAGTATAGTGACGACAAGAACTTTGTTCATTCGCATACTTCTTGTCATTATTCACGACAGAACGAGTGCAGCAGAAGGCAAGCTCCATATTGTTACCTTTACCTCCGATATAAGACAATGAAGATTTCCAATAGCAAATGCGCCATTGCCCTTTTGGTGGCGACAACCTCGTCGTCCTGTGAAGGTTTCCTGCAGCCACTTTCCCTGTCGACGCGCAAATCGTCGCCTACTTCAACTTCGTATCTGCAATATAATACGAAGGAAAGCAACGACGATGATATCGTCAAGGCTGCCATCAACGAAGAGGAAGTCACACGACAGTTCTTGGAAGATCCTGTAGTCATGATTCCAGAAGAGGACGAACGAGGAGGAGTCGACACTCCGCCTGCTTTCTTCACCAAGGTTGCCACTACCGACAAGAAAAAGAACAACAAGAACAAGAACAACACGAACCAAGTCAAGATTGCTGAAATCAAGATCGAGGAAGGCAATATTGATATTGTTGCTGAAGAAAAGAAGGAATCAGCGGATGATAAGAATCAGGGTGCCGAACAGGCGTCAGCTGAAATTGAAGCAGAAGCCGTCGCGAAGCTTGCCGCCAAAAAGGAGGCTTCTAAAATCAAGGCTGCTGCTGAAGAGGAGGAAGAAGAAGAAGCTGCAAGAATTGCCGCAGAACTCAAGGCTGCCGAAGAGGCTGAAGCTGCTAGAATCGCTGCGGAAGAAGAAGCTGAACGCATCGCTGCGGAACTCAAGGCCGCTGAAGAAGCGGAAGCTATTCGTATTGCCGAGGAAGAAAAGGCAGCCGAAGAAGCCGAAGCTGCACGCATTGCCGCGGAAGAGGCTGAAGCTGCTAGAATCGCTGCGGAAGAAGAAGCCGAACGCATCGCTGCGGAACTCAAGGCTGCGGAAGAAGCCGAAGCTGCCAGACTAGCCGAGGAAGAAGCCGAGCGTATCGCTGCTGAACTTAAGGCCGCTGGAGATGACGAAGCTACTCGTATCGCCGCTGAGAAAAAGGCAGAGGAAGAAGCGGAAGCTGCACGTATCGAGGCTGAGACTGCCAGAATCGCTGCCGAAGAAGAGGCGGAACGAATCGCTGCGGAACTCAAGGCTGCAGAAGAAGCCGAAATTGCTCGTATTGAAGCCGAAGAAAAGGCAGCCGAAATCGCTGAGGCGACACGCATTGCCACGGAAGAGGCCGAGATTCACAGAATGGAAGCGGAAGAGGAAGCCGAACGCATTGCTGCCGAACTCAAGGCTGCTGAAGAGGCCGAGGCTGCTAGACTAGCCGAAGCCAAGGAGGCTGCCGAAAAGGAGGCTGCTCGAATCTTGGAGAAGACAAAAGAAGAAGAGGAGCAAGCAAAGGTTTTGAAAATCAAGGCCGAAGCAGAAGAAGCTGCTGCACCCGTAGCAGAAGAAGCAGTGGCTGAAGAACAAGAAACTACTACTACTACTGCTAGTAATGAAGAAGAAGAAGAAAAAGAAGCTGCTCCTGCTGCGGAAGAACCCGTAACTCCTGGTGGCAAGGTCATCGTTGGTGGTGTCTTTGCCCGAGCCCCCCGATCGCCCTATGCCACATCCGGCAGCTGGTGGGATGATCCACGGGGTGGACTCCTTCACAGTGGTGGTGGCAGTACCAGTTATGGAAGAGCTGACAATGCGGGATGGGGGACGAATTCTACTGGTGCTCCCTATGATAGAGAACCAGGAAGCAACTGGTACGATGGAACGCGGTAAAATAGATGGATGGATGGATGGATGGATTGGTCGAATTCATTTGATTTGTGTTGATTGATACTGAATCAGCAGTAGATTCTACTGCTTCAGTGCAATGCTAGTAGCATACTGCTATACCGGTACTCTAATAATTAGACTTTGGTATGAGTCTTGACGATATCTTTTTTGTTCCTGAATGAAGTTGTTGCATTTCATGGTAGAGTAAATGAATCGGTCGCTCTACCAATACTAGCATGCGTCTCCTCCTTTCTGGAATTCTTGGTCAGAAGTAAATTAGAAAGAGTGAGTCTGGCGTCTGGCCTATACCTAATCACGATTGATGGAATGGTTCATTCATTCGTCGAGATGAAGAAAAGTAGATTGCATATTGTCGCTACACCAATACTGACTCCTCCTTGCTGCTGCTTTTGCTGCAGTGCGCGAAGGGTTATGTTGACGGCCAACAGGTGGAAAGCTGTAGGTAAAGTATATATTATAACATAATAGGGAGAAAAAAGAATAAATAGTTCCATTCTATACAGCTTTACAAGAAGGGCAGTGGTAGTTGTTGGTGGGTGGTGGTGGAAATAGTAGTAGTAGTAGTAGTAGTAGTAATATGGTGAGTTCATAATCAAAACAAGGTGGAAATAGTCTCGATACAACAAGAAGGATTCAATCCTTCTGTTTATTCTTGCACAGACATTTCTTCTTCGACATCTTCCTTCAGAGAGGTAGATTGGATGGTTCTTGGCACCCCCACAGACGATCTCGCCGTGGAATTGGTAGGCGAAGCCACACTCGACACGGATCCTCGGAAACTAGATCGGTAATCCGCCCACTGCAGCAGCTTTTCGGCATTCTTGCGCAGAGTCTCTCGTTCGTCCTCTTCCTCATCATCGTCCTCATCCTCTTCACTCGATTCCGTGACAGATTCAGAGTCGTGTTCGTGTTGTTCCTCACTATCCTCACTATCTTCCTCTTCTTCCTTCTTTTCTTCCTCTATTTCTGGTTGTGTGGGCAACAGCGGTAGTTCCGAAGACGAAATGCTAATATTGACCTGCGCCTGTCGTTGTTCCAGGTATTCCTCATGGGTCATGAGCGTAGAAGCATCTTCTTCCTTCTGTTCATTGCCAGATGCCGACATGCTGGCTACCGACGCCGTCATGACTTCCTCTCGCAGCTTTTGAATCTCTCGTTTGGCTTTGGTGAGTTCGTTCTTCATGGCTGTGATTTCCGAAATTTGTTCCAAATATTTGGATTGAAAGTAATTTCGTTCTTCGGTCAGACAAAACACATCGTCCTGAAGCTTTTTGTTTTGAGGTCTTCCAAGGATTTGCATTTTGTGCTGTGCTGTGCTGTGCTGTGCTGTATTGAGTTGTGTGTATTGAGCTGTATTGCTATTCTTGCTATTCTTTGCTATTCTTTGATAAGAATCAATCAATCAATCAATCGATCAATCTAATTCGTGTATTGTGCGTTGTGTATTGATTGGTGCTTTGCACTTCTACAGAACTGTTTGTTTGACAGAGTCGTTGTTGTTGCGTACAGAAGAGTTCAAGTCTTTCTTTCTTTCTTTCTTTCTTGTCTCTTGAATCTTGCTTGGTACACAAGAGATGGCAGTAATGACACTTTGTCTTCTTCTTCTTCTTCTACAGTATTGACAGCAGTCTAGTCCTGCAGTTGAGTATTCTTTCTTCTAGATAAATTTTCGTTCTGGAGAGAGCAGAGCCTTCAGCGAGTGGGAGGGAAATTTGGTAGAGATGTGCGTTCGGTCCCTTTTGACGGACAGGCTCGTGAGTGTATTATTTCTACTAAGTAGTGCGGCGGACTCGTCGCTGACGCATCGCTACTACACGACTGCCGCGCTTGCCAGTCGCGTACACGTGAAAAATTCCACGCCCGCATCGGCTCAACGGCGGAGGTGGAATGTTCTATATACATGTATGAGCATCACATTGGTTTCAAATGACACGGATCGGGGGCAGAGCTCGATCGGAACTCTCCGACTTGAGAACAAATTCGATCCGATGCCGAACAGAAAAACTGTCAACCAACGGTTTGTCTCGTGTGTGTGTTGTGAAATTTTGCAACCCCATTCCGGCAACCCTCTGTATTTGGTAGTGCATCGGATCGAGTCTCCTCGTTTTAGTTTGCCTTCCTGCCAACCAACGGACCATCCGTACCGGTACCGAGGGTACAACTTCTACCGGTCCCTATATGAAACCAAAATGGCAACCAATTTGGCAACCCTTGCCTACTACTATGGCAGCGCATAGGATCCAGCATGTCCTTTTATACAGTACTGTAAGTCCCCTCGCTCAATAGGCTTGACAGCCAATCTTGACAATGATTCCTGATCCCCAATACTGCTGTAAAGATACGTTCCATTTTGCCTCATTTATTTATGAATGCTGTTGTAGAAAAAAGATCCTACTGTAGTATACCTAGTTCAATTGGATCTTGTCCCTTTTTACAGGTGTATATTATTACCTATATTACCATCGTTTCAACCTCTTGTTTCAACTGAGCAGTTTAATACAGTAGTGTCTGTTCAAAAATACTCCTCCCTTCTTCGTTTGGAAGTTTGCAGATTCAGTGTCTTATTGCGACATTGAATCTACCGCCGGCAGTGTCGTTGGCAAATTTTGTGGGAAGGTTTTGGACAATTTCAAGAAAGGGGGTCTTACCCACAAACGCATGCCTCGCCATTGAGTGCTTAAGCAATCTTGTAACAGTGGGAGTATCCAATTAGGAATAAATGAGATAGGGCACGCCTCGCTCCACATTTTTGGGGAGCATTGCTGCAGTAATTATCCTAAGGACGGGCTGGATGGCGCGCTAACAGAACCAATACATTTTTTCAAATGGGGTGCGGCATTTTATCGAGTCGAAAAAATTAGAACCTACGTATGAACGGACTGCGGCAGGGAAGCGGTTGCAGTACCACATTTATATTCTGACTTGCCAACAGGTAGAACGAACCAAGCAACCAACAAACCAGCAAGCAAGCAAACCAGCAAGCAAACAAACAAACACGAACGAACGACAATTACATTATAGAACCGCCATCACTATCGAAGAAGCACGAAAGACAACAGCAAAAGCAATTCACAACAAATAGAATGATTTCAAGACAACCATTTTCCCCTCCGTCATTGCTTGTGGCGATCGGAACCGCAGCAGCATTGGTACTTTGTTCTTCCGTGGACGCTACTGTTACCAGCGCCAGCGTTGATGCCAATCGCTCATTGCAAGGACAACCGTACGAATATACCTCCGACCATGTCGTCGCTCGTGCGTCTGCCATTTCCAAGGATTATGAAACCATTGCCGGTTTCTTGGCGCAGGACAATGGGGCGGGCCGGGAAAACGCTCGCGTCGTGTACCAATTGGGAGCCTATTGCCAATCGTATGCTACTCTGATGCTGGATGCTCCCTTGACGTCTGAAATTCTGCAAGGAACCGAAGTTACGGGAACCAATGCCAACGGCGATTCCGTTTCGGGAATTGTGCACAGTGGGGCCTTTAGCGGAGACGCGACTTTGGAAGTCATGTATCTGATTCCATCTGATGGGATTGCCAACCTTTGTTCTGTGGCCGGAAACCCTACTCCGCAATATGAGAATTGTGAGTGATATTTATGTTGTGATTGTGTGTTATTGTTTTACATTTACAGTACATGCATATGAATTGTCCGTATTGTCCGTACTGTGCCGAGTGGAATAAAGGATGCGCATTTTCAGTTTCTTTTTTTCACGTGTGTCGCTTGTACCAATTTAAATTGCATCAACAACACTTGACTCACTCTATTCATTTCTCCTACACATTTGTGAACACTTTATCAGGCTTGAACACTAGTGGTGAAATTTCTGTTTCTGGCGGTCCCACACTCACCTACTCCAATTACGACTTGGACAATGACACCGCCGCTGGACAATCCATGGAATCCATGTCGATGACCATTTCTGGAGCCGGTACACTCGGTTACCCCCGCATTGGTACCTTTGCATCTTACTACGGTACCAACAAGTACGCCAACGAATTCATTCAAGCGGCCTTTGACAAGGCCGACACTCAATTTGACAGTGGCAATGCCGAATTCACCAAGTGGACTCAATTTGGAACCAATACCTTTATCGAAATCGCCGCCCTTACCATGACTTCTTGGATGCACGTTGTCATTAAAATGCAAGATGCCGTCGAAGTCTGCAAGTCCTTGCCGCAGGGACAAAAGTCGGTCCAAGAGGTGCCCCTTTGGGACAATGCCGTCGCCACCTACCGTGGCATGGGCGGAGCGGCTGGTGGTACCATGGGACAACTCTGGTTCGTTGCCGACGACTACTGCCAAAAGTTTGGAACCTGTCAAGATGGTCCCGGTGGCACGGAAGGCGTCGCCAAGGCCAATTCCAAACTCTATGCGCATTTTGATGCGGGCAAGCAAGATTTGTTGGATGGCAATTGCGATTCGGCCGAATCTTCTCTGGATGCCGCCGCCACGACCATGACCATTCCCATCATTCAAGGATTGTTGTACCATGCCTACGAACTCGATCTATTCCAGGAACAACGGGAAATCGTCCAAGGAGAAGCGGCTGCCTTTTTGCATTCCCTTTTGCCATTGGTCCATGCCTGTTCGGCAGGTAACGCCGTCATGATCTACAACCAAATCAAGGTCGGAAATGGAAAGACGGCTAGCTTTGAAGCCATCAAGTCCTCCTTGGAAGGTACTTATGAATGTTTGGGAGTGACTTGTGAAGATATTGGTGGCATTGTCGACCTTTCGGATCCTACCACTTACCAAAAGCATGGGGCTCCCTGCGGTACCTTTAACGTCGGTGACCAAAATGGCGATGGGATTCCGGACGTTGCACCACCAGTTCCGGTTCCACCACCTTCTACCAGCTTGCCAATGCCTACTCCCTATCCCACTCAAGACAACTTTACCCCTACCAGCACTCCCACGGATCCACCATCCAGTGTCTACCAATTAATTGATTACGAAGAGACCAGTGACGATGGTGTCACGTATCTTTTGGCCATTGGGCTTCCACTGCTTTCAGTCATTGCCGTGGGAATTGTCGTCTGTAGACAATACAAGACCAAGAAGGAACATGGCAAGGAATTTGATTCGGGTGAAACTGGTGAAGGGGCTCCGGACGACGAGACGGAAGATGAACTCAAGGTGGAGAATTTGCAAGGGGAAATGCTTTAACTTTTGTGTGTCAAGAGCTACTACTACTACTACTACTACTACTACTACGACACGACAACTACAATTACTACTACAACAAACGGTTTCCTTGTTGCAAAACCGTTTCTTTCACGACCATCCATCATCATCCAACCACGCTGGGATTGTTTTGAAGAACAAGAATCATCATCACCATCTCACATGTACCAAAACAGAAAGTGTGTGTGGATGCAAATCTTAAAATTTCATAGTTTACAAACGCTTTACAAAAAAACACTTTACAAAAAGCGTAGTCCTATTATATGTACTACCGATAGTCTAGCAGTAGCAATGGTCAGTCTACCACACCGAAACGGGACTTGTCGTGAAGCGCAGGTGTCACACCGGTGAAGGTATCAGTTTGAGGAGTGATGAGTGATTGGAGTATAATTTTTGAGTTGTCAGTCGAAAATGCAAATGGATGATAGCCTAGAGAGGCCTCTGGTCGAAAAAGGTGCAAGAAGCTCCAGAAGGTCCCGAATATAGAGGCCTTTGGAATGAAATGTGTGGCGGTGAACTGTGCTAAATTGCCACGTTATAGCCTATCACAACATAGTTTCTACTTAAGGAAGAGGCCTTCGGGGCACGTGTCAAAAAGATACTTTTTGGAAAGGCCTCTTGGTGGTAAGATTTTGGAAAAACGATACGGCATTATTATTTCTTGCTCTTTCCATCCACATCAATTCTTTTAAACCATCAACATCAACAGTATTGCTATGAAGACCTTGTTTGCATTGAATCTTGCTCTTGTCGCCATTGTTGTAAACGGTGCTGGCGATCAGCACCACGATCATGACCATGCTGGACACAAATGTGCTTGCGAAGCTATCGAGTTTGACTACGTCATTGACTGTTCTGACATTGTTGCCATGACCGAAGCCTTGGGTCGTCTTCAAAGTGGAGGATGTGCTTTGGACTGTACTAGTGGAACCTGTGATCGGGATTGGTTGATTGTCCAAACTCACCATGATCACTGTCCGGAAGCGAACATTCCATTGGTAAGAAGAAGAAGAAGAAGTTCTTGTTTTGTTGCTTGTTTGCATCATACTATCAATCACTGGAAATTGTTCTAATATACATCTTTTCAATTTTATTCCTCGTTTCCTTCCATTCAATCAATATATTCCATACGTCGATACGGATAGACCATTGAAACCGATTTCCATGACTATGATCAAGTCTGCAGCAGTTGTGACATTGTCCGCCAAGAAATCCCAGGTGCTCCTCAGTGCCCACTTGTCAATTGTACGGATGGGAGTGGAACTGCTGCCTATCAACGCTTGTTGGCGAACGGCTGTAACATCGATTGTGCTCAGTCATCCACCACTTGCAGGGACGATTGGTTGACACTTCGTGTGATCCACGACACCTGTGATCATTCTGCCTTGACTCAAGCTGCCGAAGAAGGTATGCATGCACTGGAAGAACCTTGTGCTGCGTATCAGTGCAACCCTTCTTTGGATGTTATCGCCAATACTTTGGAGTGTACGGAAGACCTGATGACGGACAGCGACACCAACAATGCCCATGATGATCATGATGATCATGACCACGATAATCATCATGGTGGTGAGACTTCAGTTGGAGGTGCTGATGACAGCGGTTCTTTCAAAGTTGCCGCTGGCTCTATTATCGCCATGGCTATCGCCATTACCACTATTTTGTAACCATCTTTTATACGTTTGGTGTCCTCTTTTCGTTAGCGTTGTGTTCTATTGAAATACTTTTTCGTCTTCTATTTTATATTGTTTCATCACGGCCTATCGGACGATGGCCAGACTCACTCAATGACAGGCCACCTTGAAAAAAGGCCTATGGCCACTTCTGCCACGAAAATTCGGGAAGCCTCATTTCAATTTTCTGCACACATCATCATCGTAATCACAATCCAACTGCATACACTTTACATCACAAATCACACATCACACATCACACAATACAATAATGAAGACCTTCCTTACCCTCTCTCTTGCTGCTCTTATCGCCACCACTACTACCACTGTAAGCGCGAATGAGGCGGAGGATGGACACACCCACACCAACGATCACGAGCACGGACACAAATGCGCCTGTGATGCCATCACGTACGACTTTGACATTGACTGTGCCAACACACAGGCCATGACCGATGCTTTGGCCCGTCTTCAAGCCGGACAGTGTGCTTCCAACTGTAATAATTTTGCCTGTGAGAAGGACTGGTTGATTGTGCAAACACACCACGATCACTGTCCGGAAGATGGAATCCCTGTCGTAAGTTGTTATACGGAACTGATCTAATGACGCACCTTTTGAGCGATGTGTCATGTCAGCACGAGTCATTCAAGCTTTCGTATCTATTGAATAACACAATCACAATCACATCACATCAGCGTTTCTAACATCTATCTTCTCCCCAACTCATAGGCTATTGAAAATGGTTTCCATGACTACGACGGAGTCTGCAGCAGTTGTGACATTGTTCGTCAAGAGATTCCTGGTGCTCCTCAGTGTCCAACAGTGAACTGTACTGATGGAAGTGGAAATCTCGCGTTCCAACGTCTATTGACCAAAAGCTGCAACTCCCAGTGTAGCGAAACCGACTGCAAGGACGACTGGTTGACCCTTCGGGTCGCCCACGACTTTTGCGAAAACGGAGCCCTGTCGCAATCTTCGGAAGAGGGTCTCCATGCCTTGGAAGAACCTTGCGCCAACTTTCAGTGCAACTTGCCACTGGACCAAATTGCCAACACTTTGGAGTGCAGTCCTGAAGATCTCAAACAAGCCCATGATGATCACGGCGATGATCACGCCGACCACGACGCAAGCCCCAACATGGCTCCGGGGGGAAGTGGTAATGGTGACGGCTTTGACATGGGCAGTGCTGGTGTTACCAACCTTGCCCTTGGAGCTGTTGCTCTATTCATGAACCTTCTTGTTGCTGCTCTTTTCTGAGCATCTTGATGCAACTGGAATGCTGGACCTGATGAGCGACTGGTGTGGAACTGACGAACGCCAGCTCTGGAAAGAATGAGTTTGTTTATTAGAAGCATTCTGGCTCTTTCACTGGTGATGGTTTTATGTGCTTTCGCAGCGACAAATCCTTTAGAATACTGTAGGTAATGCTACTGCAAGAGTAGAAAATTTATTTATATCGATTACCTTCCTGTTGCTATGTCTTTAGAAAGAGGGCATGCGGTACCAGGTAGCATATTCGTCTCCAGCGAAGCTTTGATGTATCGGACGACGGACAGTCTCATATTGCAACCTTCGCCAGATCCATGATCCATCCTGTTTTGTATCTGTCATAGATCGCGAGTTCCGATTTTTGAACCAACATTCACAATATAGTCATCAGATTATTCAATATATATATGTATATTCACCATGATTAAGACCTTCGCTCTATTACTTGCTCTTAATTCAGTGAACGCTGCTGCCAACAAGTGTGCTTGCGAAGCCCAGAAACACAATTTTACGATTGACTGTGGTGGTGGTTCTGCCAGCAACAATAATACTACAGATGATGTTGCAGCAGCAGCTGCTGCTGCTGCCAGCATGACAACAGTCACCGATGCACTAACGTACTTGCAAACCAATGGGTGCTCGTCCGACTGCATCTCGGAACTTTGTGAGAAGAACTTTTTCATTGTCCAGAGTCATTACGATCACTGCCTCGACGACGATATTCCATCCGTGAGTATTATTATATACTGTACTATACTATATATATTGCATGATGATGATAGAGTGTAGGATGTGTAGGATGACGGATTTTCAGAGCTTGCTGCTAACACCTATCGTTACGTCTCATACATAACTAACAGGAGATTGGAGCAGATCTTATGCAGAACTTTCAAGCCCAGTGCTTTTCTTGTGCCATTGTCCGCCAGGAAATTGATGGAGCACTTCAATGCCCAACTCTAGATTTGGATTGCACAGATGGAACTGGAAGCGCCGCCTACGACCGATTGGTATCCAAAGGGTGCAATGAGCTCTTCCAGTGCACTTCCGCAAACTGTAAGGACGACTGGCTGCTCCTTCAGGTGGTTCGCGCCATGTGCGGTATAGATTCCCTGAGTGTAGCGGCACAAAGGGGTTACCATTCCTTGGAGGAGCCCTGCAAGGCATTTCAGTGCAACCTCTCGCTTGACGTCATTACCAAAACCTTGGAATGCAGTGTGGAAGACCTTTTGTCAGATGGAGACTTTGACCATGACCACAATGACCACGATCATGACGAAGACGATGGTGATGGTGGCAACAAAAGCGGCCCAAGTATGGCTCCAACAGGAGGCAATGTCCCCGCAACGGATAGTGGGGCTGCCAAGTTTGCTCTTGGTACTATTGTTGCCATTGTCGTTGCCGCTGTCGCTCTTTTCTAAGTATTTCTGTCTGATATACTTACGTTCAATGTTTTGGGGCAGGGTACTACAGTGTATTACCACAATGTGAATGCCGTTCAATGAATCAAGTATGGTATGGGGAATAACGAGGATTGTTGCAATGTTCTTTTTATGATGGGTGTAACGACCAAATGGAAACGAAGAATGCAGTTACAAGTCTTCATTCCAATGGTGCCTTTGTGCATGGACCAACAATAATCGGCTACAGGTCGTGTACAAGAGCGGAAGAAGTACAACTGCTCGAGCAGACCCAAAATAGTACCTGGCTTGTACTGTAATGTGTTGGTATCGAGTACACGATGACGCTCTTCTGGCTGTCTCTTCTATATGCTGCTGCTGCTGCTGCTGCTGCTAGAATATGAAGCTCCTAACCAGCCTTAAGATAGTTCCGGCTCCAAAGGCAATTCGTCCATCCTGCTTGCCCATGATAATTTTCTAATATACAAGAGTAAAAGTAGTATCGTATCGGGGATATGTATCTACATTACCGGTGTCATTTTAGAACTGACCCTTACAGTATGTATTACGGTATACCGCGCGGTATGCGCAACATACGACAATCTAAAACTACAGTATTGATGAGTATTACAACTTGCAACTATGTACACGTACTGTACCATATCGTGTTTTATGCGTGTCTCATCACCGCTCCCTTTTGGTGATACGATACTTTGAGTGTAACCATTCAGTATAATAGAAATATGATGACATCGTATCACTTCTTTGGAAACGAAGGAGAAAGAATTCCAAGAGCCGTGACAGATTTAGCTGTTCATGCACTCGTTCAGGCGATTCCCGTACACGCTTGCGAAAACTTCAATCAGCTGACACGGGTCAACTTCAATGGATTGGCTTTAAGGGCAATTGGAAGATATGCCTTTGCAAGATGTACAAGCCTGTTGGAAATTGACATTCCCCAGTCCGTGACGACTATTGAACGTGCGGCCTTCGCGAGTTGCAAGTCATTGACAAAAGTTCGTTTTCATGAAGATGGTTTGTTGACTACCATTCGAAATTCAGCCTTTTTCCAGTGCTCGTCTTTAATCGAGGTGAGCATTCCCTCTAGTGTGGAGACCATTGCAGAGTTTGCCTTTGAATGCTGTGAATCTTTGGCAAGAGTGTTCTTTCAGGAGGGACTGAAAACGATTGATTATGGTGCTTTTAAAGAGTGTATCAAATTGGAAACAGTGGACATTCCGAGAAGTGTTGTGAAATTGGGCAACGGTGCCTTTCGTGAATGTACGTTGTTGCAGGAAGTGAACATTGAGGAAGGATGCTTGAGAGTGATTGGAGAAAGGGCTTTTTCTAAATGTGTCAAATTGAAAACAATCCGCATTCCTTCCACTGTTGAGCGCACTGAATTAGCGACATTCGAGGATTGCTTTTCTTTGGAAGAAGTGGTGATCCAAAATGGTCTCAAATATGTAGGAGACAAAACCTTTCACTCGTGCAAAAATTTGCAAGCAGTTGCACTACCGCAGTCGGTAGATGTCATTTGTAGCTCGGCTTTTCGACAGTGTCGCAAGTTGGTGTCAGTGGAATTGGGGGATGACCCTAGCACTGTGACGATACAGAGTGATGCGTTTGAGGGATGTGAGTCTTTAGTAAATATTTGTCTTCCTTCCGAACCCGAAATAGCCCAAAGATGTCCTGACGATGTCGGTCCCGGTGTTATTGTCAGCATCGACAGCTTTAGAGGCTGCAGAGCGCTGGAAAATCAATATGGCGACGCGAACATTCTGCTTGCCCTGATCCATCGCTTCGACAACTTTCTGATACACAAGAAATGTTACCATGCCTCTATAACAACAACAGATGAACTCGCTCGGGAGATTGAGTCATCAATGCAATCGCCGGACGAAGGCAATGATCATTTGGTTGATTCTTTCGGCATGACACCCTTTCATGTTTTACTATCGGCTGCAAACTGCAGACCCGATCTTTTGCAAGTTTTGCAAGATGCGTATCCACCGCATGTCCTTGGATGGAAAGACGTGCTGAACGGAAAGACTGCCATAGAATACTTCACCGCCCGCAGCTATCATCTGTCAGGAGGCTCTCGAACCATACTTCGAATGGCCCTATTTCGATGGTTGGTGGGTTCTATCTCGAGTTGGAACGGATTGGAAACGTGGAAATCGGACATGTCGAGTAGGGTGAATGCGATTATTGCTGAAGATGAATTGGAACAAAGACAATCCTTGGTTCAAGAAGCATCGATGGCTCTGTCGCTCTACGAACGGATGGAAGCCACAACGTTACTAGAATTATCTTTGTGGAAAATGGAGATGAAGTCGGCAAATAAATCACTAGGAGAGAATGCAGTCGACAAGGGCGGCCATGAAGCATACCGGATTCGAAGTGGTGCTTCCGTCGTCATCCCGAATGTGATTTCATTCGTTGTATGAAAAATATTAGCATCTTACTACGTCTCTTGAGCTATATTGCTAGAATACGGAATCCCTTAGCAGCCTTACTGTTTCTGGCTCCAAGAGCAATTGGTCCATCCCGCATAGCTACTGTATGCTTCCACTGCAACCTGCCATACCATTATCGATTGCAATGTGCGATACATTCGATTCCAATATCATCGTGCGAAGGACAGTCGCTCATGGAAGGCCAAACAAAAAAGTGAAAAGATGAATGATGCGATGTTTCAGATTTGATGGAACAAAACAATAAAATACTGTACAAACCACCTTTTGCAAATCCGACACGATGACAATAAGCACAGATAACAGCAGTAGTAGTGACCCATCGTCTAAATTCAATGACGAACCATTGCCACTGGAAACCTTGAAACCTTGGATTTCTTCCCAAGAATTTGTCGAATGGATTCAAAAAGGAGACGAGAAACAAGCGGCCCTGGAAGCCGAAATGAAAGAGAATGAGGTCTACAATGCTGCCAACTTGTTTGGGTCTACATTGGATGAAGAGTTTGAACAAAAAGGAAATAGAATACAACAATGGACCAGCAGTGCGATCCATATTGATGGAATTGGAGGCTTTGATCATCATCATAAAGAAGATACAAGGACAATCGGGGGCGAATCATCATCATCAGCAGCAGCAGCAGCAGCTACCAGTAACGATACCCATGTGGTACAATTGGAATTCTTTTTGAGCGAGTCGTATCAAGGATTTGGTGATACCCTCTGGTCTTCTGCACGATATGTCGCCAACGTGTTGGCTAATCCAGAGCAATGTCAGGAAATTCTGGCACCCTATCTGGAGCGACGACAAGAACGAGGAAATAAGGGTGAGGATTATTCAGAGAATCGACATCCGCTGTTGGGAACCAGTGTGTTGGAAATCGGTGCTGGGGCAGGAGTGCCCAGTTGGTCAGCCATGCACTGTGGGGCTCGTGTGGTTTGTACGGATCTTGCCGATACCAATCGGATTCGAAGCATTGCCGAATGTGCTTGTCGTAACTACCGCAAGATGCTAGAGCAAGAAGAACAAAATAATAGCAGTGGTGGTAGTGATGATGATAGCGAACGCTTGCATTTTGCAGAACAAGCAAGGGCATGTCCTCATGATTGGGGTTCGGATGTCCAACCCGTGCTGCATGCATTGAATCATCCATCAAATAAAAAGGAAGAAGCAACAAGCCAACCAGCATCTGACGAGATGGAACTGTTTGATGTTGTTTTGGCGGCTGATTGCTGTTACATGCCTTGGACACACGACGAAATGCTGGATTCTATTTACAAGGTGATGTCGCCCATCGGAGTCGCCCTCATTTGCTTTGCCTTGCACGACAATACCGATGACAATGACGTCTGGAAAATTGTGGACCGCGCCAAAAATCGTGGATTTGTCGTCGAGACTTTGCCATCGACGCAGCTGACACCACCGACGACACATATGGAAGCAAAACAAGGATTGGTCCACACGGTTCGACTAAGCAAACCACAATAGGATAAAAGTGTAAAAGTAAAATGGTATCATAGCTAGCTTGAAATCAACTTTGGATATCGGAGCATCAGGTAGAGAGTTGAAACAGATGAGTTGGTTGGTATTGTGCTATCGAAACCAGGTGCTCGCGTCGTCCCCTTTCATCAGTGCCTCAACTTCGGACCAGCAACCAGCCGTCCAAATGATTGGTTCACTTGCTGTTTTTGTAATATCATTACCCATCCAACCGTTGCGTTCTGACAATGGCTTGACCGTGACTCCATATTGTTGGGCCAAGGCAATGGCCGACGAGGATCCACCAAAGAGGATTCCAACATCTGCCTCCAAGATGGCCAACAGATCGGTGGACGAATCTCCTACGTAGACAATGAGCCCTCGTGGTGACGATGACGATGACGATAACGACTCCGACCGAAGACTGGCAATCTTTTCTTGTTTGGCCAAGGCTCCCGGAATGGACAATTCCACCCTTCCAGTTTTCGAGTCGACTCGATTGCTCCAGATAATAGGCATGCTGTATTGTTCTATTTCGGGTCGTAGACTGGCAGCAATCAAACTGGGACACCAATTGACGCTCAAGACTGCCAAACCCCATTTGTTGTTGCCCTCCTCTTCCTGGCGGTGGTGGTGGTGTAGTATCTGACGCAAGATGGAACCACAATGGGGCCGAATTCCTACCTTTACTTCGTCGTACTTTCGGACTACTCCCAGAACAAAATCCGTGTGTTCGAGATCCGCTTGCAACTCTTTCAGACAGCCAGAGGTACTCACTTTGGCCGTCACGATATTGGACACTTGATCCAAACGATCCAAGGCTTGCGCGAGACTGGAAATGACAGTTTCCTTGTTGTTGCTCTCATTCTTGTCTGTTGCTGGTGGTGGTTGACATTCCGACTTGGCTTTTAAATAGAGAGCAAAGTATTCTTGTTCCAGTTCGGAGAATTTGGATTGCCGTTCTTCCAACGTCATGCTTGGAGAAGGCTCGCCTGCCAATTCCTTGGCACACAAGGCTGCCAATCGGGGAAGCATGGGAGTCGTGTCATTGATGCTGCAAGTACCATCAAAGTCCACCACGAACCAATTTTGACAATTCACAGTGCTGGCTGATACGGATAACGCGTCAGCAGCCATTATTGGATAATATGTGGACGTGAATGACGTTTGAAAAGTCAATGTTGATGAGAAGAATAATAAGTCTAGGAAGATAAGATGAACCAGATTCGTGATAAGAAGATGATAGACGATGTAAGCAATTGGATTGGAAGATCTTCTTATCGGTGTTGAAAGCATGGGAATGATGCTTTGATAGCAGCATCAGCAATATAATAATGAGATGATGTCAACCGGTAAAAAGGCGCAGAAGAAGATCATACCATTGAGAGTGGATGTGAGATACCTCTTGAAAATGTGGAGACATTCTGGTCACGATTTACGTATGTAGAAAGACTACTACTTGGAGTCATAGGGAATGGACATCCATGCGATCTTGAAGGAAATGACTTCTTTTCAAAAGCCTGTGAAATCTTTCAGGTCGATCTTCTAAGATAGTCACAACAACCTTGTCTCTTTACTACATCGAATTGTAAACCAACCAATCAATCAATCAATCAATCAAAAATGTCTACTGAAGCCGAATGGGGAGAAATGTTCAAAATGATGGACGAATCTGGCAGTGGAACCATCCCTGCTGAAAAGTTTCCAGGCTGCGTTCGCGGTGCCGGTCTTTACCCAACCGAAGCCAACATTAAGGAAATGTTGGAGAAGTCTAACGGAGCCTCTGGAAAGGTCACATACGATGATTACATGACGCAAATGAGATGGCTGGCGAACAAGTACCCCATTGATATTGATCAAGTGGGTGAGTCATTCAAGATGTTCGATAAGGATGACAATGGAACGATCAGCAAGTCCGAACTTCAACACGTTCTCTGTGGTATGGGCGACCGATTGAATGCTGAAGAGGCCGAAGAATTCATCAAGGAGGCTACTATTGATAAGAATGGAAACATCAAGTACATGGACTTTTTGAGAGAGGTCATCAACTAAACTCGCCATGTCGTTTTGGCTACAATCATCACTGTATCTGACTGTCTGACAGTAGTACTGTAGCGAGTTGAGGTGAAAGATGGATTGGAAATTAATTTGTGAACTAGTGATCTATGATTGCTTGATTGTTTCAGTAAGCAGAAAATAATTACGTTTCTGAACTAACATAAGGAAAACAATTAGAAAAGGAAAGCTGTACTGTGATTTATATTGTTGTTTCAGATTTGCGCTATTATTGGCATTCCTGAGCTTGATCGTGATACTCTTCCTATATCCCTACTTCGCTACTATACACGTCCAACGTTCGGGCTAGATTTGCATCAACGCTGGACCCGCATTCCAACACAACGAACTGCTGTAGTCCACTGAGACAAGTATCCTTGCCAAGGTACTCCATCGAGCAATGCCACAGCGTTTTGCTCCAGGATACGGGCATATAGTAGGATACAAAAGAGCAAAATCGCGACTGCAGATGATCTATTATTTGACTAAATACTTTAGCCTTTGTTCGAATGAGTGCCAAACGTCTGGCTGACCCTACTTTGTTGCAGTAGGAATGGTAGTACATGCTGCGTTCGCAAAGAATAAAATTGCTATTCACCAGTATGCTGCTGTATAACCGCCTTCAATCCTTTGTATCCAGCGAACCAAGCTCTTCCAAGGCCAGTTTTGTGTATTTGCATTCTGGATGCAGTGACTTCACGTGAGTCACTTTCGTGTCTTCCGTGGCACTCATATCGAGACTTGAAGAACTGTAAGAACTCGGCATCTCCAAACCTGTCAGCTTTGTCGCTACATTATTTTCTGTTACAATCTTCGCTCTTGAGGATATCCGCTGGCATAGTTTGGTGACATCCTCTGGTTCGTCGATGTCATGCATCAGTTGACCAAGAATCACTGGAATGGATGCATCTGTCAGGGCTTTCAACTGCGATACAGCGGTCAAGGGATGTGACCAGTACACATTCTCAAATATTCTTCTGCTGACACTCGTAGAGGGTACACAAAGCATACCATAACCGCCATCATCAGATGGACAAAGCACCGCTGGAAGACGACTTTTATCATGTTCTCCATCTTGGTTGTCCACCTCATCAGAAGCCAGATGCAATCCTTTGACAATGTCCGGAAGCGCAAGCTCAGGAGAATCCATACCCAAAAAGACCACGCCAGTACTGCTCATTGGTCGTTCTTGGTTCTGATTCCATGGAGTCTCCACTACTCGGTCCAAAGCATGCTGCAAAATGTCGCCCAGATCAGATGATTGCAAGTTAGGCGATATCATGGGAAGCAGTCTCCATTTCGATAATCCACTGCTCGAGTCTTCTGCTCCTCTGTACCCTTCAATTCCAATTGCACCTAATATGCTCGCCATTATGGAGCGCCCCGTTTCATCACCAGGCGCATACAATAAAACTTTGTTGACTTTCTCGAGCTCAGACTAAATATAGTATTGATTTCATCCAAAGACGAATCAGAGTGTGAACATCACCACAGAGTACGTATTTTTCCTATGTCAGAATATTATTCCTATAAAACCTTTTCAATCAATCTGAACCAAAACCAACTTACACAGTGCTCCAAAGTCAGCAACACATCAGAAAGCATGGCTTTGGCCAGCTTGGCGGATCCATCTTCACCCAGCAAAGGAGCCAGTCGAGTCTTAGATTTTCCAGGTATGGGGCATTTCGCAACCACTACAATACAACCAGATGTCAGTTGTTGTCGTTGTTGCTGTGATGGCATTAGCTGAAGTTGATGCCAGTACCTAAAAGAGTTCCTCGACACAACATAATATATGGCATACTGTACTCGTATATGATATGATTATGCGTGCAGACCGTCGAATATTATTGGACTCCTTCGAATACATGAAATCATGGAACGAAGCAGTAACACGGTACACGTACGTACCGGTACAGTAGTATTCAATAAAAGCTCTTTGCATAAAACTAATTTGATTATGTTGTCGTCAAACTACATACACTTTCTTCGAGCGCCTGTTTTTCCACCAGGGTGATGAAGCTAATTACTCTTCGATTCTCAGAGATCATCTTTGTAATCTGTTTGGTTCGCCGTCCTCCTCGCTAGTCTTGATTCCACGTCTTGTTCTTGTTGTTGCTCCTCTTCTAGGCCATCCTCCTCAGTACCAGTGGATGTTTGGGCTTTTCTAGGCTCTGATTCTTTTTCTTCTTCATCTTCATCTAGCGACCGACTTAACGACCGATTTAGCGACATATTCATGGAATGCTGATCTCGTTTCGGCCGTCCCGAACAACGTTCTAGCGACTGCTTTGAAATCCGTGTATCAGATGTTCGTCCATATGTCGAAGCCTCCTGGCGTGGGTCACCCGAACCTTCAGACAAGTTGCATCGAAGCACCAATTTCATTTGTCGTCCAATATCATCGCTCGTATAGAAAACGACAAATGCACTAATGCAGCCCTGAAAGTGACTCATGGCTGCACCTCCCCAATTAATCCAAGGGCTCAATGTGTTGAAGTTGCCGATAAACTGTAATGTAGAAAAAAGACGAAAACAATGTTAGCGCCTGCTGCCATATTACGACTTGAGGCATGTAACAGTAAAGCTTACGGTAAGTAACAAAAAGGGGGTCCAGCCAAAGAAGTAGACGGATATCAATCGAATGAGAAAGATGGACAGTTTTCGACGCTTTCCTGCTTGCGGTAACATCCCCTTCCAAAAGATCCGACCCACCACAAATACCGAGTACGCGAATGGAAACATTAGGATACCAGGCAAGAAGGCAAAGTAGAAAAAGTAGGTAGATGGGACATCTACTTCCATGGGAAAGCATGCAAATCCATAATAGGCTTTTGTTTGCAACGGTAAGCCTGGGATTGGGAAGGCTCCTAGGAGGCCCCAGATCGCGGCATAGGTATAGACGACTGCGACTTTGCAAAATACTTGTTGTCGAGTTGGAGGAAAGTATCGCCTTCGATTTTGTGAGTAAGTCAACAGCTTGTTGACTTCCTGAACAATCACTAGGTTGATCCACGCGTTTCCGCAAAAGGCAAATGTCAAGTAGAAGGATTGAAATCCACACATGGCTTCGGAGTAGTACCTAGAAATCGGGGCGGATAGGGCACAGGTGAAGACACAAAAGAAGGCTCCCAAGAAATCTGGAATCGTCATGAAGAGCAAGTAGAGACTAAAGGCATTGGATCGGATCTTGCGCGTTCGTAGAATCCCCAGAATCAGCACCAACGTCGCAGAGGAAACCACAACATTGACAAAGGCCAGAACGGCAAACTGAATTTGAATTCCATCTTCCGACAGTTGGGACCTAGGAGGGTCATATCGTGTGGAGTTTTCGTTTATCTGCCAATCGTATAGTACAGGACTGTCCAACCTAGTAGTTGACGACATTCTGCTATTGCGTTTGTATTATGGTAATGGTGGAAGAGTGATGTACCATGATTGAATCATAAGGACTTTGGACTATACAGCCTGCGTAAGTCCAGGTGCGTACCGGTACCGTACTTATTTCTACCCGGTTACGCTTTGCAGCGTTTCGATATATATAGTTTCGCCGTGTGACGAAGATTTCTTCGTATTGGCACTTTCATGGTTTTTAAAATTAGTAAAAGTCACTGATGTCACAACGTTTTTGTTATTATGAATGGGGTTTTTATTTAATACAATATTATTCGATATATGTGTCTCGCTCGCTCCTTGGAACATTGGGATTTTTGGAACAAAGAGGAAGGCCACAAAATGAGCTACCGTACATTGACCCATACTGCGGTCAAAGTATCCAAGAGTACATATTATACTCCATATATACTCCACCCAATTATTGTAGTCTTACAATGAGCCAAAGGTTGCGATCCAAAGGATATACCGGTATTATAAAGAGTGTAACTTTGCCTGGTCGCCCGTCTACTAACTGGACAGCTAGTAGTGGCAGCGACGAACCCAACTTTGCTTCATATTGAAGGCGGGAACAATATCGTCTACTACTAACTAAAGCCAACTACTACTAGTACAGTGGTGAGGACAAGGAGGCAGCCTTACTGTAGCTTGCTGAGTGGCGAGCGATTTCATGGTAACTTTAATGAACGGACCAAGTTGGAAGGAGAAGGGGCGGTTCTGAAAGACAAGACGAAAATAGGAGATCAGTGCACGGGACCGCTCGACGACCCATTGTAGGTGACAGCCCAGCCACCAGGATACGTGTTCACTACCTTGCTACAAGCCATTCAGGTAACAAGAGTATAAATTGTGCAATATCTAGGACGTAGCCTGGGGAGGTAGTATGTAAAGTTGGAGCTCGAACCAAGTGTGGCCTGCTGCCTCGATTCATTCACACATTTCAACGTCCATTTGGTTGGATCGTGGTAGTAGCTTTTCTTTTTCTTTTTATTACAAGGCACCTCGCAGAAACCAAAAACTTGCTTCCCTGCAGGACATCGTGCACGATGTCTAGTATCCGTGAAAGAGTTCGATATACCGGTATAAGTATACTGGTAGATAACTCGCGAATATTATAGACTCGTTCGAATCCATGACAAGTTCATGCCGATCGCACGCATGCAGTAGGACTATACTATTACTGCAAAACTGTTCATAAAACCACTTCAACTACGCTATCGTCAAACAACATATACATTCTTTCTTCAAGCGCTCCCTGTCTTTCTTGCAGGGAGATGAAGCCAATAACTCTTCAATTCTCAGGGATCATGATCATTGTAATCTGTTTGGTGGTTCGTCGCGGGTCACCAGTGCCTTGACTCCACATCTTGTTCTTGCTCCTCTTCCAGGCCATCCTCCTCAGTACCAGTGGATATTGATATTTGTTTTTTACTGGGCTCTGATTCTTCTTCATCTTCATCTCGCGACCGATTTATGGACCGGTGTAGCGACATATCCATCATGGACTGCTGATCTCGTTTCGACCGCCCCGAACGTTCTAGCGACTGAGTTGAAATCCTTGCATCAGATGTTTGTCCATATGTCGAAGTCTCCTGGCGTGGGTCATCCGATCCTTCAAACAAGTTGCATCGAAGCACCAATTTCATTTGTCGTGCAATATCATCGCTCGTATAGAAGACGACAAATGCACTGATACAGCCCTGAAAGTGACTCATGGCTGCACCTCCCCAATTAATCCATGGGCTCAATGTGTCGAAGTTGCCAATAAACTGTGATATAAAAACAGAAACGATCAATGCAATTAGCACAAAACACGGGATTCCGAATCGAGCTACCGCCACGCGAGACAGTAAACAAGCTTACGGTAAGTAACAAAAAGGGGGTCCAGCCAAAGAAGTAGACGGATACTAGTCGAATGAGAAAGATGGACAACTTTCGACGCTTTCCTGTTTGCGGTAACATCCCCTTCCAAAAGATCCGACCGACCACAAATACCGAGTACGCGAATGGAAACAATAAGATACCAGGCAAGAAGGCAAAGTAGAAAAAGTAGGTAGACGGGGCATCTACTTCCATGGGAAAGCATGCAAATCCGTAATAGGCTTTTGTTTCCAACGGTAAGCCTGGGATTGGGAAGGCTCCTAGGAGGCCCCAGATCGAGGCATAGGTATAGACGACTGCGACTTTGCAAAATACTTGTTGTCGAGTTGGAGGAAAGTATCGCCTTCGATTTTGTGAGTAAGTCAATAGCTTGTTGACTTCCTGAACAATCACTAGGTTGATCCACGCGTTTCCGCAAAAGGCAAATGTCAAGTAGAAGGATTGAAATCCACACATGGCTTCGGAGTAATACCTAGAAATAGGTGCGGATAGGGCACAGGTGAAGACACAAAAGAAGGCTCCCAAGAAATCTGGAATCGCCATGAAGAGCAAGTAGAGACTAAAGGCATTGGATCGGATCTTGCGCGTTCGTAGAATCCCCAGAATCAGCACCAACGTCGCAGAGGAAACCACAACATTGACAAAGGCCAGAACGGCAAACTGAATTTGAATTCCATCTTCCGACAGTTGGGACCTAGGAGGGTCATATCGTGTGGAGTTTTCGTTTATCTGCCAATCGTATAGTACAGGACTGTCCAACCTAGTAGTTGACGACATTCTGCTATTGCGTTTATATACTGCAGCGGTGTGATCTTATATTGAATGGTTACCATGCAAAGTTCAAATGTGCAAGCAAATAAATTCAGTTTTGCAGAGAGTTTCGCAATCCTGAAGTTTCGTCAACATGATTCCCCGCACTGCTGGTACTCGGCCAATTGTAGCTGGTCACAAAGTGTCCGGAGTGTTATTGGCCGGCAAGAGAAGCTGCGTACTTAGTACCGGTAACCCCGTGTATTTTTACATAAATCCCTGTATCATCAGGACTCCCCGCAACGCGTCTGTCCATCTACCGATTTTTGAGCGTCGGACGCGATTACCACGCACGTCTTCCCCCCCGCCAGCAGGGAGCCCCTCATAAATTAAAACGACTTTTTGAAACCGATCAAAGAAATCGAAACAAGTCACTGCGACAAGAAACCGATCAAACGATTTTGAAACCGATCAAACGATTTTGAAACCGATCAAAGAAATCGAAACAAGTCAATGCGACAAGAAACCGATCAAACGATTTTGAAACCGATCAAAGAAATCGAATCAAGTCAAAAAAATGAGCCACGAAACAAATTGAAAATCATGTCAATCAAAGCAAAATCCTTCAAGATGACAAATGTTACAGCGTACAGTAGGATCGAACGTATGGACCACTGCAAACCTCACAAATACGAGTTTCAGACCTTGAA